CCCCCCTTTGGTACCTGGCTCGCTAGCCAGCCCAAATTTCGCTCTCTGCAGCGAGAAAGTTGCTGTCGCATTGGAAATCTGGAAACCTGGAAATCTCCAGCCACGCGACGACAAGTGAAAACAAGATGCCACACACTCCAAGTACACACCAAGTGCGGCCAAAAATAAGTCCACCGATCCGAGGCCAGACTTCTATAGCTATTTATTTATTTTTTTTTTATTATTTATTTATATAGTACATATGTGGAAGGCATTGGCATCTATTTAAATTATGAACGGATGTAGCTGTGATGGCACTACCACAGTACTCATTCATACTTACATGGAATATTGTACATACATATGTACATATATTCCATATATGTATATATATTTTTTTTAATTGATAAGACCGACTTACTCACCCGCACTTGGAAAAGAGAGCCATCACGATCGGAGCATCAGAGAGGGGGAGTGGGCAGAGGGAAGGCTCTCGTTGATTAAATTCCAATATTACAATAAAAATATTCCAAATTATGACGAAAGGGTATCGTATTAAAATTACCCTTCAACTAAATATCAAACTTTTTATTAAGAAAAAAATTTAATACTATTTTACCATTAATTAATTATATTAGTTGTGTTTTAATTAAGAAGAATTCAAGCAAAAGAGACACAATGAGACCTTATCACAAAAAGTATTACTTTAACAAATTATTAGGATTAAAAAACATATTTTTATAGTTAAGAAAGCTATCTATTTCTATCTATATTAAGAAAAATAGTTCGATTATAGATACTATTTTAAATCTTTCGAGCTATTTATTCTAAATCATGTACTTTTTTTAAGATTTTCTAATCTGTCTATTATTTTATCTTTTAATATGAATAGAGTACTAGGAAATATTACTAACACCAAGATAAACCCAAGGGACTTCACCGAAAATCACCAGTGATGACATTTTGAAAATTTTAAATAAAAATTAAAGTTTGTTAAGATATTATTTTATCCAAAACCCTCGAACTAACATATAATTAAGTTATAATAATATATAAATAATATTATAAACTCTATATGCAGTTCAGATTATTTTTTACCATTATATTTAATTTAAAAATTAAATAATTTTTGTATTTCTACCATCTAAAATATGTTTTTTTATGTTCAAATAGCTAAAATATTAAAATTCTTAAAATTTATAAAAAATACTACAACACCATCCTTTTAATACAAAACTATTTCTATAAAAAAACTAAAATAAATTAAATATTTAACAAGAATTATAATCAAAACCGGATATAGCCAAAATCATATAAAGCAGCCAAGATGCTCAGTACTGTCGCACTTGTTTCCAGTTCCCGATAATGAGCCAGAGCCGGAGCCGAGCTATTCCCATAGAACGCTGTGGCAATAAGCACATAGCCCTTATCCGCAAAAACATCCGAGTCCGTTGCCGTTTTCTGGAGACGAATGCGTCGCTAATGTCGCGCATATCTTGCATCCCGCTGAGATGTCGCAGTGCCACCGAAAGCATCGTAACGATCGTGCGTCGGAATCCGGCGGAAGATTAGCTACGCCATCTAAGCAAAATACTCCCAACATCCGCGAGGAGATTCCCACCCCCAGCCATGGACAGGAAGGGCGTGTTCCTGCTCCTCGCCTTTAGTCTACTGGTGATCCTTGAGCTCCTGGTCGTTGCAGAGGGAAGTCCTTGGACGAGACACAACAGCAATGCCCACCAGACGAGAAGGCGCTCCGGTCCCAGAAATCAATGTCCCAAGGTGAATATTTGAATATTTCCCATTTGAAGGATAAACTTTTGGATTACCAGTGTTAGCTAACGTGATTTTTCATGTAGTAGTGTTGTAAAGTTCAGATTTTAGTTCAATTATATGGAAGCTTACAAAATATTAGATTTGGGACACCAGACATCTAAACAGTAAAGATTCCATTCGATTTGGGTGCAGGTGCAGCTTGACCGTATCTGGTCCCGTCCCTGGTCACGTTCCCGGCCTCTTCTAACTGGATCACTTTCTTTGGCAGCGCTTCAGTTCGATTTCATTCTAATCACAGCCGCCAGAGGAGAGCATCCCCGGCCCAATCCCAGTTCCCATTGCCGTTCCCCATTGTTCCCCATAGCCATTCCCCCGGCTCGTGCTCATCACGTATTCCAAGCGCACACACTCATATATTTCAAGACACCGGAGATGACACCATCCGCCATAGCGCGGGGGGGGGACTAGCCATTGGCCAAGTTTATGGCCCATGGCGGTATTTCAAACTGACAAACTATACCTGTAACTCGGTCCCCTTGCGGTTTAAACTTTAAAGTCCACCAAAGCCACAAATCCTATAGCTTTTTCGTAGAATATCAGTCACAAAAGTTATATATTTGGGAGTTATTTATTCGAAATAATAATTACTCAGTCTTAAAAATATATTTTAAAATCAAGAGGCCCTTAAATAAAATTAAGTTTTTAACAAAACCACCTTAATATGAACTTAAAAAGGAAATCATAGGGTATCTGCTAGTCTGACCTATCGTACCATCACTGTTTACCTTTAGTTTTCACCTTCAATCGGCTAGCAAGCACGTTCCATCTCTAGCGACAAGAATGAATGGGACATAAAAGTGAGGCGCAGAAAGAGCAAGACAGAAGAAATGGGCTCACACCGATGCCAAAATCAATCACACTTTCTAAGTGGCTCAGACGTCGTCTCTCCGACAGTCCCCCCACTTCTGCCAACCTCCTCCTCCTCCACTGTCTCTGTCTGCATCTCCGTTGGCGGCGACAATTGCACTTTGTTGCAAGGTGCAGGTGCAGGCAGTGCACTTGAAAAAATATTTCTAATTTGTTTCTTAAAATAATAGTTTTGTCTAATAATGGGCTTTTATTCTTAATGTGACTTTGGCATTTTATTTTTATTTTATTTTCATATAATTTATAAGGGTAGGACCCTTTTTTGTAAGTGCATTTCAAAGTAAAATAAGCTAGCCGAAAGCCAAAAGCCGCCAGAAAACAATCAAGAAGAATAGACAAAACACACGCACGCAGCGAAAGGGGATTGGGGGGTGATGGAGAGAAGAGAAGGTGGCAGGAGGCGCCGAAATGGGGAGTGGATGGGGGGCGGCGATTGCGGGCCAATGCGCTTTTGAGGCGCATCAATCAGAGGCTGACTGACTGCGTCTGCAACTGCAACTCCGACTGCGAAAGAGAAAGATGTTGGATGAGAAAGAGACAGAGACGGCGAAAGAAATGAGACAGCAGACAAAGACAGCGATATCGACTACTCAATGAACTGTCAGCAGTCAATCACGGTGACAGCGCTAACGGCTTTCGTCTGCTGTGGCCGCTCCTGCTCTTTCCCTCTCTCTCTCTCTCCAAACGGTTATGTTCTCCACCTTTCATTGGCCACCACCCTTCTCTTTCGCCCACCGCCAAGGTAAACAATGCAAATGGCTAATACCCCATACACGTTAATGAGAAAGGTAACCAAAACATTGGTGGCCTACATTTTTATTTAATTTTCTTGACATGGAAGGGGTACAACCTTGACCTTTGGAGGTACTATTTTTATAGCTATATAGCCCTTGAGGGAATAAGTCTATAAACTATAATTTTTTTTTAATTTCAGGTCAAAGCTATTAGAAACTTTGACATGGAACGGATGATGGGCTGCTGGCACGTGGTTCAGTACTACGCCTCCACGGAGGAGCTTCCGGAGTACGCCTGCATGCGCAGTCACTTTTCCTTCTCCAAGGAGGATCAGCATGTGAGTAAACTTATTGGTTATCCTAATTAAACTTTCTTAATTAACTCCTATATTCTATATATGTAGATTACGATGAACTTTAGCTACATATTTGCGGAGGATCCACTGCGGGAGAAACTCCAGGGCAACATCACCTGGATGATACCCAAGTTCGAGGAGCCCGGTCATTGGCAGCACACCGAGGATATATGCAAGTATCTTGAAAATCCTATTAATATCCTTAAATATAAACAATTTTGAAAAGAAAAAGGAGTAAGGCTACTCTTAAAATTTAATAAGCGCTAAAAAGTATGCTATGGTTTTCTTATTTTCCCGCTTCCGGCTTCAATTTTGCATCTTTAAGGAAATTTTTCCATAATAATACTAACAATAATTTTAATTTAATCCTCTTTCAGATGAAGGCGTTTATAATACCTATGTGCTAGACACCGACTACGACACCTGGGGATTGGTGATGCACTGTGCCGAGAAGAAAAAGCACCCACGCTACCTCTCCGCACTGCTTTTGGCCCGCAAAACAGAGTTGGCTCCAAACGAGATCAACTTTTTAAGGGAAAAGCTGCCGCAGGATATCGACAAGTCGTTCATGTTTAACATCGGTCAAGGTTCGTGCGAGAATCTGATGGAATCCAGTCAGGACGATCCCTTAGCCTATGTGATTAATGGACGGCAGAATGCCAGAGAAATATTCAAAGTTGTCAATAAGCTGTGACAAACTATCCACGCATCAATATCAGTATAACTTTCTCTGTAAAAAAAAAGAAAAGTATTTAGCATATTTAACTTCCTATAAAAAGCCCGCCAAGCTAAAACTTATTTTCAAATTAGTTGGCAACCATAAAACGGTAACACTTTTTGTACAACACTGTCAAATGGCGACGATTAATAACCAATAAGTACATAAAAACAATAGGAATTAACATAAGATTGCTTAAAAGCTGTCTTATTAGCCAACTTTAATGAGCCAATAAAATATATTTTACTCTCAAAAAAATTTGTGGATTTTAAAGTTCTTTTAGACGTTGCCAGTGTTAAACAATTTTATACAAGGCATTACAATACAAGATTATTAAGTGCCCTAAGTAATTCACTACAGTAGCAATTGATTTCAAAGGCCATGAAAATATAAAATTTTTTTTTAATAATCTTAAAGTTTAAAAATGTATTTAAGCAAATCACAGCAACAGCAGTGTTGAAAAACGGTTGAATGCGTGCCGAAGCCATTAATCGATAGCTGGAGCTATCGATAGACGTGATTGCATACCTGGTCCGTCTTCGCTACAATATTTGCCTTTACCGGTTCTGCTGCACTGCAAAATTACTATATTATATTATTTATTCGTGAAATTATTATAAATTTAGGTGAGTGGTCGGGTGTACGGCCGCGCAAATCGAATAATAATAGTGCATTAAAGCGGAGCGTGAGCAGGCGTGTATGTGCGTCCATGCAGAGTGTACGGTTGTATGTGTGGCTCGCACTCCGACTGTGTGTGTGTGTGCCTGTATGTGTGTCTGCCTGTATATGTGTCTCTTTTTTTCTCAATTTCCACAGTGTGCTTCTTCTTACTGCTCGGCACATTTTGTACGAGCGCTTGTCAAAATACGAGCTAAAAAAAAAAAAATTCATTTCCCTTTTTTCCATATACTGCGTGATCTCCGCAACGTGAACACACACAAAATATATTTCGACAAAACTTCAACTTTGAAAATTGAACAAAAAATATCAAGTGGAGAAACAATCTCGGCGAACCCATAAGACCCAGTGAGGAGGTGTGTGCAAGCAACAAGAAGCGGACGTAAAAAAAAAAGAAAGAAGGAAGCAGCAGTAGCAGCAAGCACTTCAAAAAAAAAAAAAAAGATCCACCGAAAAAAAAAAACTCGTGGACAAAACTCTCAAACGCTTCATTTACCCCCCGCCACCCTCCGTTGCCGCCACCGCCGCCCACCGCGTTCTATGGTATTTCAACAATAAATTCCGCTCGTCAGGCCAAATTACGCAAAATAATCCCCCTAATGTATGTAATATTGTGCGTGTGACTGTGTGTATGCGAGTGTGTGTGTGTGTGCGCCTGTGGTAGTGCATGCATGCATGCCTGCGCGTGTATGTGTGTGTGTGTTTGTACAGGATAATTTTTGTCCAATGTGCTAAATATTCCCAATTTGATTCGCTTTTTCCGATCCAATCCACACACTGCCCTCCACATCCTCTTCATCCCCCACAATCTGCAGTAAAATGAGTAGCTCCGAGGAAGTCTCCTGGGTCACCTGGTTCTGTGGACTTCGTGGCAATGAATTCTTTTGCGAGGTAAGTCTTAAACTAATTCTTTACTTAAAATATCACCCCCCCTTTGGGTTTTTTTTTTTTTTGTTATCTAAGCGCGCGCTATTGGCGGTGCATACATAAGTGCAACAATTGCAAAGTGCAGCCCTGAGCGTCGCATACGTGTGTAGGCGTCTGCCAGCTTGTGTGTGTGTGTGTGTACAGTTGGGGCCCCAAATTGCCCCACCTTGCGGCACCATAAACTCACTCACAAACTTACTGTGCCACACACTGCCTTTTCTCCCGAAAGCTTAAGCCGATCATCTTCATGTAACACTCATCAAAATATCATATTTCTAGGTGGACGAGGACTATATACAGGATAAGTTCAATCTAACCGGTTTGAACGAGCAGGTGCCGAACTATCGTCAGGCTCTGGACATGATCTTGGACCTGGAGCCGGGTAAGTACTCGCTAAAGACATGAACTATTAGGACTAACCTAATACTCTCTTCTTTTATATTACAGAGGATGAACTTGAGGACAATCCACTACAGTCGGACATGACCGAGCAGGCTGCCGAGATGCTCTACGGCCTAATTCATGCTAGATATATACTAACAAATCGCGGCATCGCCCAGATGATCGAGAAGTATCAAACTGGCGACTTCGGGCACTGTCCACGTGTCTATTGCGAAAGCCAGCCCATGCTGCCCTTGGGTATGTATTTTGTTCTAAAACTAATGAATTCTTTTCAGTTACAGGAAGTCTTACTAGATTCAGGAAGTCATTTAGTTATGATGATTAGTTTAAATCTTAAGATTATACTATAGTATTGTACAAACGAACTGTAATATTAAGTAGAAAGTAAGGCCACATGGTTGTTCCTTTAGTTCCTTTAGTTTAAAAGTTAATACTAAGAATTATATGTTTATTTGTGGCAGTTTGTTATTGAAGACTCGACTGTTTAGTCGATAAAAAACGATATCTTCCATCAAATGTATACAAGATATAGGAAGCTCAAATGATAAGGAGTTCTCAGAATATGTAATTCAAACAAAATCAGTAGAGTTTAAAAGCTAGAAAGGCAATACTTTCAATACCACGTAATGAAATACTATACTTTAGAAGGTTGTTTATAGAGGAAATGAATAGGAGATGTTTGTTAATACAGTACTTTGCTATAATTTCTGCAAAATGTATCAATTATTAATGTTGTTAAACCCCCAGGTCTGTCCGACATCCCCGGTGAGGCAATGGTGAAGACCTATTGCCCCAAGTGCATTGATGTTTACACACCAAAATCGTCGCGTCACCACCACACCGATGGCGCCTACTTCGGCACTGGATTTCCACACATGCTCTTTATGGTGCATCCCGAATATCGTCCCAAGCGTCCTACTAATCAGTTTGTTCCACGGTGAGTTTTTTCACTAATGCTTCTTAATATATTTCAAATATTAAAAGTATTTTATTTCTTTTTCAAAAACAAACTACAAAACTCCAACCAACCAACGACAACTCGAATTATCTGCAACAGGCTGTATGGCTTTAAAATACACAGCTTAGCTTATCAAATTCAGCTGCAGGCAGCAGCCAATTTCAAAATGCCACTACGAGCGGTAAATTTAAAAAATCATTAACTAGTTATATATACATAAATATTTAATATCCACATGCCCAAGTCCCTTGACTACTCTGCTATTCATTTCAACGTTTTTTTTTTTTCGTATTATGAGTTCCTTTTCATTTATTTGTTTGTTTTGTTTTATCGTTTTTTAATCCAAAAAAAAAATACCGATCCAAAAAAAAAAAGCAAAATCCAAAATCAAAATCGTCATCCATACGCAATTCAACTAAGCATATATATATATATATATATTATATCTTATTTTATTTATTTTCTCTCCCCACACATACAAAAAAACAAATCAACCCACCAACCCAACCAATCAATCAATCAATCAATCAATGATACAATCATCACCTTGAAAAATACAAAAAAAACATACATATATATATATCTTAAATATATAAATCATATATACATGATTCAATCCGACACAAAAAAAAAAAACAAAAACTTCAATTTCAAAATCGGAATTTGTTGTCTCTGCCTGTCTATATATATTCGATCTGAAAACCGATCGATCTGTTCGATCGATTTCCTAACATTGTGTGTAGAAAAACTAATTCAAAAATAAAATAAATAAACAACAACAACAACAACTACACCACACACACCACATATGCATGCAAAAAAAAAAAATAAATATATAATTCATTTACAAAAAAAAACTTGCATACAAAAAATAAACAATAATAGTTTACAACGGGAAGACCAATAGACAACAATACACAACAACAACAACAGCAACAGCCACAACAACAACAACAATAGTAGCAACAACAACAACTACAACTACAACCATAATAACCACACTGAGAGAAATAGTCGGGCTAGACGGAGAGAGAGACAACTGTATTGAGATAGTTTTTTAAACGCCAGGAGCAAAGATTCATTTATACAAATATTAAAAAAAAAAAAAAATTTTAAAAAAAATACATCAAATTGTTTATATTTTTGCAAGAGAGAGAGAGAGAGAGATCGAGAGAAAAAGGATACAAGAGCAAGGAACTTAATACAGACACAAGCATACTCTACCTACACTCTTTCACACTCGAAAAAAATAAAATAATAATAACCTCACTTTAATTAAATTCAATTCTTTTAATTAACTAAATTTTTTTAATTGTAAATTTATAGTTTTTTCAAATTTTTTTTTACATAAAGCAAATCTTTAGTGTATATATATATATATGTAAATGTGAGCAAATATTTGAATATTTACAAAAATATTTGCAATTAATTGTGTTTAACTTAAATCAGCCGATATTGCCGATAATTTCTCCCCTCACACGTACATGTATCTATATATGCGAATTAATTTCATGTCTTAGTCAATTAATCAAATTTTTTTTGTGTGTTTGTATATTTTATTTAGTAATTTGTTCACTTTGTTTTGTCACCTTAAAAATATATATAATTGTTTTTGTGTGGAGTTTCATAACACTGGCAGTGCAACACGACCAAAAAAAAAGAGAAAAAAATTAGTAACTCAGTAATGAATTAGACAGAGAAGGATAATAAGAATGAAATAGAAACAGATACAGAATACAAGTAAGGGTTAAACAAGGATATATAGAAGCAGTAATGTGAGGATTAGTTTGAAGGGAAAGTGTGAAAGAGCGAGAGAGAGAGAGAGAGAGTAGGAAAGTAATTTAATTTAGAACAAAAAAAAAAAAACAACGATTATAAGCAACGTAGTACTTCCAAAATAAGAAAAGCAAATACCGATCAGCATTTATGTAAACAAAAAAAAGCTAATAAATACCCTGTATAAATCCCGTAGCAGCAAGTAACGCCTCCTCCAACCAATAAGCCATCGAAAACCCCGAAGCCAGCGCCGGCAAGCAAGAAATCCTAAGGATAATCTGAATGAAAATAAAGAATCAAGATATATATCACTCATAATTACACCACCACACTCCCACTCCCACAATCATGATATACACAAACACACACACACATCAACATATAGACATTCGCAATCCATGTAGCAGAGCAGGCAATATATATGATGGTATAAGATGAAGGAATATTGCCGCCTGGATGGAACAAAGGATATAATGGAGGATATAAGAGAGAGAGAGAGCAGCAGCCGCAGCATCCCACGCAACGATCGAAACGAACGAACGAATCAAGAGAGAAAGAGAGCCAAACAAAAAAACAAGAGAAAGCATAGCACACATGAACACACGCAAACATGCAACAACCCGACGCCTCCAAAATTCCCCCACACACCCCCACACCTCCCCACTTTCACCAGAAAATAACGCACAAGTGAAAAGTTGAGGTTATGTGGGTGGTAAACAGATGAGATGCAAACATGTTCAAACATGTCCATACACACAAACACACACTCACTCGCCCACACATTGTATAACGGCAAGAAGTGTTGCCTTATCGTTCGCAAAAGCAATAATTATAGTGTGACCATGTTCAACAATCAATCAAATCAAAAAGAAAAATTAAAAACCCAAAATTGAATTGCAAACGAAATTTAATAAAAACGAAGTAAAGAAATGCCAGCAACTACAAAAAATATTGAAATTCCATTGCAGCAGTGTGTGTTCAGTAGTGTTTTTTTTATATGAAAATATATTCCGCAGTTCGAAGCCAATTGTAGCAGCATTCATAATCGGTATAGTTTAGTTTCTTAAGGGTCCAAATATTCAGAATATTTTCAAATTCAATTCTGCTGGATAACTGAATTACCCCCCTTAAGATATTTATTCTTGTTGTTTTTTTTTTTTTCCGCCCGCCACACCTCCCCCCTTACGTAATTATAAACTAATTATATTGTAGATCAAGAGATTTTTTTCCGAATTGTACTAAAGTAGAATGGCATAGGTTTTGCCAAAAACATAAAGAAAACAAATTAAACGCAATTTGTTTTTATTATTAAATATATTTTTTTTTCGTTGTTAAGATCGATATGGGAATATTAGCGTGCCCCCAATAAAAAAAAGATTGCGTAAAAAACACAAACAATAAAACGAGAAGTGAAGAAACGAGAAAGTTTTTTAAGAAAATTAGAAATAAAATAAAAAAATATAAAAAAAAAATGAAAATATATATATGGAAATCTATATAGAGATCGATAGTAGGCGAGGACCGTTGATAAGTTAATCTGAAAGTGTGCAGAAAACTGTTTACAATTAATAATGATGATAATGATAATGATAATGATGATGATGATGAGAAAGAAAATAAATAAACGAAACGTGAAAATATTGGAGAACAAAAGTAATAATAACAATAATAACTGAAATAAAAACGAAACTGATATTTAATACAAAATGCAGTCTATCATTTCGCCAATTCCCTTTCCTAAATAAATAATAGTTTCTATTTTTTTTTCCAATTAATAGGGAGGGTTTTTAATTTTTTTTCATCTTAAAATATAGGATTTTTTTGTTTTTTGTTTATCATCCGTTCCCTAATTAAAAAAAAAATAAAATCGAAAGTGTAACCACTGTTTTGTGTTTTACGTGCTTCAAATCATTTATTTTTTTATAAAATTATCTAAACCCATTTCTTTTGGTCAAATTTTTAATTTCCATTATCTCTAGGATTACATAGCACTCTGTCAGGAGATCCTAAGTCGTCCTGATCCCGAGGCGGAGGCCGAATAAAGCTCTTATCCTTTAATCTTATTTTTCTGCAGAACACACTCTTTTTTTTACTCAAAAAAACGTTGCTTAATATCTAAGTTAAAGACATAAAATAATATTTCTTAAGTCATTAGGACGTTTGAATAAAAAAATGAATTAGTTTTTCGAATTTTAAAACCTGATTTTTCAACTTAAGAGTAAGACACCTTTCAGAATCCTTGATTTTAGAATTTTTGAGAGCTTCTACTATTTGTTGGAGATCTGTTGTCATCCTGACCCGATTCTGTCATCCATTCATAACCGAAAACCAATATGGCTGCCGCAACATCCGCCGGAAATCCGCAGACTTGGGCTTGCAAATATTTTTACCATTAAGTCACAACAAATTAGATATATGAAACAATAAAAAATATGCTTAATATATATTAAATTATTGGTTTACTTTTATAATTAAACAAAATAAGCTACAAAAATAAAAATAAAACACAAACACACTCATCTCATCAGCCCAAAAAATCCGACATATTGTTTGCACTGCTTGCATTATTGATAAGAATAAAGAAATATATAAATATTTAACTTTAAGAACCATATAAAAAATGTGTAAAGACAAACAAAATATTTTTAGGAGAGGCAGAGACAGCTAACAAAATAAAACGGCTTCGTGGGGAAAGGACTTCTCCCATTAAAACTGAAAAGACATCCTCATACAGCTCCGATTTCCCATATACTTCCCTTGGATCATCTACATTCAATTCAATATCATATAATTAATTTTTAAATATTATTTCTTTCTTAAAATGATTTTGTAAATATTTATTTTTAATCTTGTATGATAATGCTTTTTTAAATTTCTGCAAGAATATGATAATATTCGCCTGATCCGAAGATGTTTTTATTTCGTTGTCCCTTTCATATCCGCATTAATATCATTCCCATAATTTCAAAGCTTATGTTCCACAATTTTCTATATTGATCGTAAAATCTAGCGAAATCAAAATTGGTTCAAATTCGATCGATTTAGAAGTTGAGAACTTGCTCGAAAAAATTGTATTGTTATTGAAAAACTGACTTGTATGTTTCTTCTTTCTCTTCCGCTTTCTTTTTTCTACTCCTCGTTTTTTGTAATGTCTGTTTTATTTTTGATTTAATTATGTATTTATTTAAAAAAAAAATGAATAAAAAATTGGTTAATCCGGTGATCCGTGTGCAACAGCAACGTGGTCAACCCCCTAAGGACGAAGACCCTGAGAATATCAACGAAACGATTCCAAAGCGTATCTAAGCAGTTCAAGCAGTGCAGAGTCGAGCAAGCAGTCCAGCAGTCGATCCACACCAACAGACTTAAATACACAAACACAGATATAAAGATACAAACATACATACACAGATACGATTATACACTGAGGATAATTGTGGATGAAAATTGTTAACGATCAACCCAGATATATACAAAATATGATAGCCAGGAAAAGGACCAACATCTCAAGTTCAACAGCGCTGGATCGAAAAGATATATAAAAACAAAAAAAAGATACAGATACATTACACACATACAGCAGTTACAGAGTGCACCTGTGAGAGAATCGGGAGCACAACAACAACAACAAATTTATTCTTTGCATTTTATTTACTAAGTGAAGCGGCTAAAAACAATTTAGAAAATAGTCTTTAATGAAATACTTAGTCAAGTGGCCGTAAACCCACCTCTTTTTCCGATAAACTTCTTTAACCTATCTTCTGATCTTATCCCACATTCTCCCCCGTGCGATTTCCAGACTATTCCTGTTTTTTTTTTGTTTACCAACCTACATACCTGCTTTTCTCTTCCCGAAAACCAGAACTTGAATAAACATGAATAATGAAATAACTGTACGTGAGCCGAATTCGAAAAACAAATTCGATCGGCAGTCGGTTCCCCCATTTTTCGAAATCTGAGAGTGCATAATTACGATATAGAAGTACATATATACATAACATATAAACAATATACCGTTAGCTTATTTATATATATACACAAAACACACACACACAGACACCCTCGGACACACAGCCTGTTCCCATTTTTCGAATAAAGTTTCGAATTCAATTTCGAATCGAATCGATTGTTTTGATTTAATTGAATTCGATAAGAAATCAGGGAACAGTACTGTTATTTATAACAAAAACAAAAACAAAGAAAGAAAAAAATCAGAAAACCAACAAAATATTTTATGTATTTTTTTAATGTATTTAAGAATAATTAAGATAAACAAAAAAAAAAACAAAAAAAAAAATAAAAAAAACTGAGAAAGCGTAACTGCTTTCGATAAAGCAGTTGGCTGGTGAGAGAAGATAATGATAATACCGTTATCGAAGGAATTATGTAGCAAAACTGAGGAAGAAGGTTGATGCGCAAGGAAATGATGATGATGATGATGATGATGATGAGGCGAGAGAAAAAAAATGAAGAAAATAATAAAAATTATAAAAACCAGAAATATGACTTTATTTTTGGGTTTAGTTATAACTTTCTATATCTTTCTTATAGGAAAACTATCCTTATTAATAAATAATTAACCTAAAATTGAATTTCAGAGATAATAATATTCAAAAGTTGCCTAAGAAGATTCCTAAATGGAGCTTTGAATATTATTCCAGATTTGTGGAAAATCACAATAATTTTGGCACAAAATATATTTCAATCTTGAAATATATGTATGTATGAAAAGTGTTGGTATGCGCTTTTCTTAAAAAAGAAAATTCTTTAAAAATTAACATTATTTTCTAATTTCCATTTCCATTTTTTTTTTTTTTCGTTTTTTTTTTCTTTTCTAATTTAGAAGGTAGAACATGTATCGCGCCACCGCCAACCGCGGCGTATGAACCGGAAATGACAACGAATGATCATTATTTTCCTTGGACTTCTGTACGGACTGGTATATTATTATTCACCATAATTACATAACATCCATATCAGCTGAAAAATCAAGAACTGATACCCGAGGAGAATGATAAGAGAGATCTGAAGACTATCTAATCAAAGACTATCGAATCAAAGACTATCGCATCAAAGACTATCGATATGAACACCATCGTGACACGGAACGCTACACCAAAAGATATTACATTTTTCTTTAGTTAAAAATTTCCAAAAAAAATACCTATAATGGAATGTTATTGAATATCTTTGACCAAAAGATACTACAAATACCTATTATGGAATATCTTTCACCAAAAGATACTACATTTATCTTAACATCAATATTTCCAACAAAAATACTTATTATTGAGGAAAATAGGTATTATTTTGAAGTTCCATTTTTTCATTATTCAAAAATTGTTCCTTCCAAGGAAGTATTAAACATAAAAGAGACATTTTTTTATTTTGTTTAAGTATTTTTTTTCAATAATTATCCAAAAGAATTAACGCAAATCCTAAAAATAGGTATTGCTTTGAAGTTCCTTACTTTTATATAAGTTATTGTTGTGCCATGGAATGCTGCACCGATAAAAATTATAGCATTTTCCTTAAAAAACAAAACTAGCTATTATTTTTAAGTATTTTTTTCAAAATGTATCCAAAAGAATCAACAAAATATCCAAAAATTGGTATTATTTTGAAGTTCCTTGTGTTTAAAAACAAACATCCAACAAAAGAGAAGGAAGACTATATACAATATATTTGTAGGGCCATGGCATGCTACACTGTTAAAAATAATAACATTTTCACTTAACTAAACGGATTAATTTCCATAAAAAATAATGAAAAACCATCCAAACAATTATTCCTCCCAAAGAGAGAATAAAATATATATTTTTCGATGCATATATGGTGCTACACGGCGAGAAAAAAACGTACCAAAAGATGCTATTATTTTTAAGTTTTTTTTTCCACCCCCAAAGAATTGTTCCCTCCATAAAAAATCAAAAATATATATTTAAGTTTTTTTTTTTTAATTTTTTTTGTTTATTTTTATTATTAAATAAATTAGAAAATTCTTCGTAAAATCGAAGAATCCTTTTTTTTATGAAGCTATCACGGCTGGTGTTGGGGCCGGTGCTCTAGTGGCTTTGTTTTTGTTTTTGTTTCTTTGTGGTTTCTATCTCCGGTTTGCTTTTGTTGCCTTTTTGCATTCTCATCGTCGACCTAACGGTTTTGTCGCCATGTCTCGCTTTCTCCGCACGCCCTGCAGCTCCCTCCTCCTTCTCCTCCTCCACCACCCACTCCTCTCTTTCTATCTCTTTCTCACATACACTCACTTATACATATAACATTTGTTTGTGTTTTTGCTTTTTTTTCTTTTTCTTTTTTTTTTGTTACATATCCGCAGGATAATGGATAATCCCTATTTGATCTGCGACAGTTATGCATACATTTATATATAAAAAAAAAAATTTACAGTTTTTCACATAATTAAGCAGCTAACTGGACGAGGGGGCTAGCTGGGGGGGGGGGATGTGTGTGTGTGTGTTCATGGAGGCAGTTTCAGGATGTGGGCGTGTCGAGTGGCGACATTGTGTGGAATGCGAGAGGAACACTCGTTTACAAATCAAAAAAAAAAAATACTTTAAATTTTAAAATTTAGGCAAAAAAAAAAAATTAAATGATCGTTATAAAGAGAATTTGTTGTTGTTGTTGTTTTTTTGTGGAAAAATTGCCTTAAAGGTCGAATGGATGGGCGGGGGAATTGTCTGCAGGGGTGTAGGGTGGTGTGGTTGTGGGTGGTGGTGTGGGTGGTTGTGTGAATTAGTTACATCTCTTGCTGTGGCTGTTTATAATTTGTTATCAGTCTGATTTCATTCCAACACTTCTGATCTGCAGTGGATGATGATGATGATGATGTGGATGTGGAGACACACACACCACCTTACAGCTCATCCTTGAGTTCATCACCATCAGCGCCCTCTGGTGGTGGAGCACCACCGGTACCCTGGTACAGCTTAGCGATCACCGGCTGGACAATAGCCTCGAGATCCTTCTTCTGTTTCTTGTACTCCTCGGGATCGGCATCGGGATTCTGTTCCAGCCACTTGATCGACTCATCGATGGCCGATTCCAGCTTGGTCTTCTCCTCGTCGGAGAGCTTGGAGCCCAGCTTATCCTTGTCACCGATCTGGTTCTTCAGGCTGTAGGCATAGGACTCGAGCTCGTTGCGGGACTCGACGCGCTCCTTGAGCTTCTTGTCCTCGTCGGCGAACTTCTCGGCATCGCGGATCATGCGATCAATGTCCTCGGGAGTCAGACGGTTCTGGTCGTTGGTGATGACGATCTTTTCCTTGTTGCCGGTGCCCTTGTCCTCGGCACTGACCTGCAGGATGCCGTTGGCGTCGATTTCGAAGGAGACCTCGATCTGGGGAATGCCGCGTGGTGCCGGTGGAATGCCAGTCAGATCGAACTTGCCCAGGAGATGGTTGTCCTTGGTCATGGGACGCTCGCCCTCGTACACCTGGATGGTGACGGTGTGCTGGTTGTCGGAAGCGGTGGAGAACACCTGCGATTTCTTGGTGGGAATGACAGTGTTGCGAGGGATCAGTTTGGTCATCACACCGCCAACAGTCTCGATACCCATGGTCAGAGGATTGACGTCGAGAAGGACAATAGCATCAGTATCCTGTTCACCGGAGAGCACACCAGCCTGGACGGCGGCACCGTAAGCGACAGCCTCATCGGGATTGATGCCTCGGGATGGTTCCTTGCCACCGAAGAAGTCCTTGACCAGCTGCTGCACCTTGGGGATACGAGTGGAGCCACCGACCAGCACAATCTCGTGCACATCCTTCTTGTTCATGTCAGCGTCCTCGAGCACCTTCTGTACGGGCTTCAGGGTGGAACGGAAGAGGTCGAGGTTCAGCTCCTCGAACTTGGCACGGGTCAGGGTCTCGGAGAAGTCATCGCCCTCGAAGAACGATTCGATTTCGATGCGCACCTGATGGGATCCGGACAGAGCACGCTTGGCCTTCTCGACCTCACGACGCAGCTTCTGGACAGCACGGTTGTCCTTGCGGATATCCTTGCCCTTCTTCTTCTTGTACAGCTTGATAAAGTGATCCATGACGCGCTGATCAAAGTCCTCACCACCCAAATGGGTGTCACCGTTGGTGGCCACCACCTCGAACACACCGTTGTCAATGGTCAGCAGGGAGACATCGAAGGTGCCGCCGCCCAAATCGAACACCAGCACGTTCTTCTCGCCCTCCTTCTTGTCCAGACCGTAAGCAATGGCAGCAGCTGTGGGCTCGTTGATGATACGGAGCACCTGAAGACCGGCAATCACACCAGCATCCTTGGTAGCCTGACGCTGGGCATCGTTGAAGTAAGCCGGAACAGTGACGACAGCGTGGGTGACCTTCTTGCCCAGATAGGCCTCAGCGGTTTCCTTCATCTTGCCCAGAACCATGGCGGAGATCTCCTCGGGAGCAAAGACCTTGGCGCCCTGGGAGGTGTCCACGCTGATGTGGGGCTTCGAGTTCTTCTCAACGACCTTGAAGGGGAAGAACTTGATGTCGTGCTGGACATTGGTATCGGACCATTCGCGTCCGATCAGACGCTTGGCATCGAAGACAGTGTTCTCGGGATTGGTGGTCAACTGATTCTTGGCGGCATCACCGATCAGACGCTCACCGTCGGCGGTGAAGGCCACGTACGAGGGCGTGATACGGTTACCCTGGTCGTTGGCGATGATCTCAACACGTCCATTCTTGTAAACACCAACACTACAATGGAATGGAAGAAAGGGCATCATTATAATTTACAGTTCAAACTGAAGGTATCACGTGGCACAAATAGAGTCCTATGAATATCACCTACCAGGAGTATGTGGTTCCCAAATCAATTCCGATCACAGTTCCGAGCTCCTTGTCCTTTTCTTTCTTCTCCTCGCCCAGCGAGAGGCCGACAAAGGCCACAACAGCCAGCAATATGCATAACCTCATCTTGAATATCTTTTCAAACAAAAAAACTGTAAAGAAAATATATATAAAAGATATTAAATATTAATATTAATTCCATTATTAATTTCGAACTCGGCTTTTTGTACACGTCAACCTCACACACACACATCCATATACATATATACACTCTCACCCACACAGGCACATGGCACTACTCTCTCTCCCTTAGCGAGAAACTGCTGACGTTGTTGGTCAACGACTGTCAACAGGTACCGTTAGGTGTGCCACTTTGGCATGGAATAATCGTATAGTTCTCTCTCTCTCTTGGCTTTTTTGTTACCTTGTACTAGTTAGTTATTCCGAGATCCAAGATCAAGAGCCCAACCGTCCGCTTCGGCGACTGCCCGGTAAGTGTTAAGCCAGTTAAGAGTTAAAGCCTGAGAGAATCGAAGCGTCGGCTAAAAAGTGCCCAATATTCTATATGTCGCTGCTGACATTGACCGACGCCGACTTTGGCAGCGGCAGCGGCAGAGGCAGCAGAACAACAGAAAATTTGTGTACGTGTAACATTATTCTGGTTCTTTCTTTCTGTTGCTCAAGACTAAGAGAGTAAGAGAGTACGAGAGAGCGATAGCCAGAGAAAGAAAGCCACTTGCCGGCGAGAGAAAGAACGGGTTTCTTGGTCAACTACACTAATAAAAATTAATCAAACTAAATGAAATATTTAAATTTAAAAAATAAAAGTTTAAGTTAAATAACTAAAGCTCAAGTAACTCATTTCTAACTAAAATCTTTTTCGAGTCCTAATATTTTTTCACAGTGTGTTGAAATTCTTTAGCCACTTCTAGCCGTCTGCTTCTTCTTCTTGGAGAAAGTCTGCGGAGCCATGGAAACAAGAACAAGCAAATGGCTTTGCACAGCTGTTTGGTTATCGCCCTCCCGCTCGCACTCGCACACAGACACGCACTTTGGATATCTGGGTTTTTGAATATCTGCCTAAGATTCTTATTATTTTTTTTGTTTTTGGCCCAAAACCACTGACGTGTACTTTCCGGCCCCCCAACACACGGAAGAGCTTAAATCTGCTCGGGCCCTGGCATATAGTACTAGTACGCTGTGGAAATGACGTGTACTTTGCAGCACTCACACAAACACGCACCGACACACACGAACACGAACGTAGAGACGGACAGAGGGAAAGAAGAAGAGCTTTTTGCGCAGACGCTCGTCCAGATTGAAATTAAATTTTAAATGCAATATTTTTTTTAAAACCGATTTAAACAAAAACTATGATTCAAGCAAACTATTAGATGGAGGGAGTGAGGTAACCAGCATAGCGGTGAATGAACTCGAAGGGGGCTTATGCTGCGCCAATAAATGTGCGTCACCGATATTCAAATGAGGCTCGGGTCGGGTCCGGATTACCACGTCACTATATCGGCGGCATTGCAGAAATTACAAAAAAAAAATAGCATAAAAATGCAGCCGGCCGCATGAGATTTATTTATTTTTGGGCACGTGCTGGCCACTTTTTTGTGGGCCCAAAAGATTTTTCTGCCAACATGGCGACTTTTGGCCCTTGCCTTTTATTTGGTTCTTTTTTCAAATGTGTCCTTTTTTGTTTAAGCTACTCACGAATATCCTGGACCGGATGGAGCAGTGATTATATCTTGATATATGATTTGTTAAGTATTTTTTTGTTAGCTGCTTTCCCACTTACACTTATTGCTTTGAAGTTTTTTTCAGATGTGACCGATTCAAACAGAACTGACAGAGTGAATGTGGCTACTTTTCTGCTTTTTGCCGGTGCTTTCTACACGCACACACACTGACACACACTCACATACAACTCTGGGAGCCGAAAAGACACGTCAGTGGTACAAAAACAGTGTTGCAAAACGAACACGGTCCATCACTAACTGCTTTTCAAATAATAGGGGGGAGGAAATTTCAAATGGGCTTTTTATGAATTAAAAATTATCTCTAGCAATAGGTTTAAATGTTTTTTCTCAATATATCGGCTTGCTTAATAAATTACTAAGTCACTCACTAGCTACACATTAAAAAAAAAAATAAAGCACACAAACTTTTTCATTCATAACTTAAAACTTTTAAGATTTATACTTACATTTGCTAACTAAAACTATTTAAAAAAAAAATTTCACTTAAGTAGTTGTCACTTGTTTGCTCTCTCTCTCTATAATCGAGTTTAAGTCTTTGATGTCTTTTTGGCTTTTTGGTTTCGTTATTAAATAATTTATAAATTAAATGGAAATATTATTATTTGTTTATTTTCTTGTCACAGCTTTTTGTTTCTTAATATGTACTATATTTTTCGGAATATTAGCGTTTTATTTTGCACTTTTCTCTCGTTCATATGCTGTGTGTTGCTTATTCCTTGTACTTTGTTTTGAAAATGATGTCTGGCTCTCCCGTGCACCGGCTATTTATTCAACCACGGCCCCCCAACGCTGACGTGTGCGACACGTCAGTCGAAGCGGGCCTTCTGATTGGACTGGAAAGCTCCCCCCCAACTGGAAATTTCGCCAAAGAGCGAGAGAGAGAGCGTAAGCCAGCGACCGTGAGTGGCAAGAGAGAGAGAGTGAGAGCTTGGCGCTCTCTGTTTGTTTACCCAAACATTTTTTTGTTTGATTGGCGAGCTTCTTTGGCTGCAGAAGGTGAAATTGGTGTTGGTATGATGCAAATATGCGTAAGCTTTGGGTAAGCACTGACGTGTACATTGGCCAGATTTACCGTTAAGATACTAGAGCCATCTAGATATTTACCGTTAATATTAGTAGGTCATTATTACTAGAAATGTGTCTGCAATAATTGTCTTTTAAATGTAACTATGGGTTTTCCAACAGTTTTTTGTTCAAAATGAGATCAAACTTTAAAGAAAATATTTCATTTTTAAAAAAGTGAAGAGTTCTGTATAAAGATATAGTCTGGTGACTTATGTATATAAGGAAGGAAGTATATATACAAGGAAGTAAAAAATGAAAGTAGATTCTTGTAACTATTTTTTAAAGCCTAAATTTCTTAGTTTTAAATTTCATTGAAAGTTTTTCATTTAAAACATTATTTGTTCTTAATAGAAGACATATAATAGACCTTAATATTACTATCTTCCTTCAATCTTTCATAGCTATGCATATATACTGGAAATTTAAAGGTTCAAGAATTTTTCTAAATTTAAAAATATATTGTTTACAATTTTAAGTCTTAAAATTTCATAAAGAAATCTTCATTTTGTGGAACTACCTTATTTTCTGATGTAATTTTCATTAATTTAGGTTCTAAATATGTAAAAGCTTCAACTTTAACTTAAAAAAAAACATTTTTTGAAACTTGAATGTACTCTCTTCTTCAGAAATCTCTTTAATTTTTGATTTAAAAAACGTAAAAGATTGCTTGAAGTTTTTGAAAAAATCGTTTTTTAAAGGTAAAAGTTCTCAAAACGTTAGAAATCTCTTTCCATTTTGTTATTTTTCTTTTAATTTAGTCTCTAAAGATTTTAAAAACTTAAAAGATTGCTTGAAGTTTTCGAAAAAATCGTTTTTTAAAACTTAAAAGTTCTTAAAACTTTAGAAATCTATACATACTTTAGTGTCTTTAGAACCAAAATCCCCAAAACATTAAAGTTTCTATATAATTCATGCATATTTGTTGAATCATAAGTAATTCCCAGAACAAAAACATAAAAAATGGTTTTTAAACTTAATTTTATTGATTAACTGGAAAAAAAGAAAGATCCACGTATCTCTAAAAAAATACCAGGAGTTGCCAGTTCTTTCTTTATAGAGATACTGTCTTCCATTTCCATAAACCACATACTGCCGATAAGAAATACATATAGCATATATATAGAGTGTTCCCGAACACTCCAACGAGCTCCAGAAATCAATCCACTTTATCAGGTTTTTGGCATCCGCCCGTGAATAAAAATCCAAAAAAAAAACGCCCAGATATTTCTTTGGTTTTTGTTGTTTTTTATGTTTTTTTTACTTTGTTTTTTTTTCGACACTCAATCAATTATCAATTATATTTTCATAACAATATATAATAGCATGTAATAATCTTTTGTTTTTTTTTTTATTTATCCATACCCCCCGCTCAGCGTCCCATCATCATTATAATTTGTATCTTACACTAAAAAATGTCTGTTTTAATAATTCTTTTTTTTTAATTGGAATTGAACCAAAAAATAAATTTTAATTGTGCTGAATAAACTTTGGACGCATTTTTACTTCAAGTCCTCAATAAAAAAGAAAAGAAATTAATTTTATTAATAATCTCTACTTTTTTTTTCTCAATTTGATATCTAAAAAAAAAGAATCAAATATTTATAATATATTGACGGTAAAAACTAGTTTCTTTATGGCGAAATTGCTTAATTCGCAGTTTTTTTTTTTTAAGGGAAAATATTTAACCCTTTGACCTTTTGTGTGCAGTTTTTTTTTTTAATTTAATTTAGTTTTTAAAGCTTAACGACACTTAAAAAAAAACCAATAAAAGTTGCTGTCGTCTTGAATTTTTTTTTTTGGTCGAAAAATTGTGAGTTTAGGAGGAAATGAACAAGTCGCTGAGATGTACAATATATATAGTATAATTTATATATATATATGTTTATAAAAAATCGGAGCATAAAGAAAAGCACATCGAAAAACGATTAATAGTTAATAGTTTTTTTTCTTCTTTTTTTTTTGTATAAGAGTATAGTTACAGTTTTTTGAGTTTTTTTTTTTTTTGGCAATAGAGTGCACAAAAGAGATTTGCATTTTATGTACAATACATATATATATATACTATATATAATATATATATATAAGAGTTTGCATTTATAATTGTACAATAAATTTTTTTAACTTTTTGAAACACTTGAGTTGCATAGATCCTTCTTTTAGGGGGGCGGAAGAGAGGGGATAGGGTTTTGTGGGGGTTTTGGGGGGTTTTTTTGGTCCGAAACTGCGACTAATCTATAAATAGGGCCTACAGGAAGGACCTCCTGCAGGACCTGCTAGTTAACAATATCAACAAAGAAGCAAGCGCGTGGGCAAGCTGCTTTTATTTTTTTTACATCATCTATATATATATATAGATATATATATAATTTTTTTTTTTTGAATTTTTGGCAGGGTCTCGGATCCTTGTGCTTTGCAAAACATAGAATTTCAATCGCGATGATGCGGAAAGTAATCCAAGGACATACATAAACATGTCTGAACATGTCTAAACATGTCAGAATCTATCATTAACAATATAATTCGAACAAGACATCAATATGGCAATTCTTTTCAAAAAAGAATTCAAATTTAATTTGATATTTTTTTATAATAAAAAAGGAACATGCATTATTTTGTTAATAAAAAAAAATAATAAATGGTTATTTTTCCTGTTTAGGTTGTTGTTGTTGTTGTTGTTGCAGCTCTATCGGCCTTGATAGTTGGCCATATTTTTTTTTAATGATTCTTTTTTAAAGGCAAACTGGCTTGGCGTTTATCCAAAGATTACTATCCGCTCTCTGCGATTTGTTGTCAATCCAAAGCGATCTCTGCAACCGATCCTACTCCTACTCCTACTCCTCCTCCATCCCAGGTCTAGTCTTCAGAGCTCCTCCTACTCATGCCTAACACCGCATATGGACAGGAACGTACTGAAGTTGTGCAGGCTGCAGGCGGGCAGGACCGTATAGACAATGGAGGCAGTATCCTGGCACTTGATACGGAAATCGTGCAGAGCCTGCAACAATAGTTCCGCCGCCGGTGCAGCATTCACCTGGTAGAAGAGCTTCAGATGAATGGCCGGCAGTGGCTGATGCTGATCCCCGCCAGCACCGCCTGGCGTCGGCAGAGGCGTGGCCGGCGGTGTGGTTGTATTGACCGATGGCTTCTTGGCCAGCGGATAGTCCTTTAGCAGACGATTCACCACGTATGTGAGTATCTCGTCCATGTGCTCGGCGCTGACAGACTGCGCCAAGCGGCAGTGATTGCCGAGGATGTCGTCGCTCAGCTGCGTCAGCTGGGTGGTGGACGAGGCCAGGCCGGTGGACACATAGCAAACGATAGCAGCGCAATTGTTTTCATAGTTCCAGCGACGTCGGATCGAAATGGTATAATCGCCCACCGAACAGCCCGTCTCCTCATCTACAAAGAGTCCTTATTAGTCATCTAAATTATGATTATCCCCTTATCCCTTAGCCCTTACAGTCGAAACGATCGTTGTGGGTGTGGGCCCACACCTGCCACTCGACGAGCGCCTCCCGGGGCAGTGCCGGCAGCACAATGTAGTCCATGATGGCGTTAGTAGTGCGCCGTTCCCACTGACGACGTGCCTCTCCGATGAAGGCCGGATGGGTGACGAAACAGATGCCGTGGACGACGTCCCTTAGCTGCCCGTGGGCATTCATCGCCTTGGCAATGCGACTGATGTGGCGCAAGGTGAGCTTGCACTGGGGACGGATGCCGCCCTCGATGATTGTCATGCTGCCGGGCACCAAAGCGATCTGGCCAGAGATATAGGTGATGTCACCGATCTGAAATGGATATCTGGGTCATCAGGACACGGATGAGGAGAATCTCATAGCAAGGCTCACCCTGGTCGACTGGCTGTAGGGTCCGATATTGGCAGGTGCCCAGTGGGAGATGCCCTGGACATGCATGGTGTTGCGGCGTCCGTTCAGCAACGCCGCCGCTGTCTCCTCGCTCTCGCGATCACGCTCCTCGGCACTGGATATCGAGCCGGCGATGGCCTGGCGGTAGGCAATGGCCTCCATCACCACATGGCAGCCGTCGGGCAGCGGGCACTCGACGCAGACGCGAGTCGGGGGATTATGGAAGTCAAAGGCGCGCAGGTAGATCCGATTCAGAGCCGGATACTCGGCAATGGAGCGCACATAGAGCGTTATATAGCACAGATCCTGCAGCTCGTACCCCTTGCCGTGGCACAGATCCCCTAGAGTGTCCAGGGCCTGTTGCATTCCCTGCTCCATGCCATCTGGTCCACAGCCTGGAAGAGATTTCAAAAGATTAGATTGGATTCTGGGAAGATGGGGATAGTAACTCTAGTGTGGATACCCTGTATGCCCGCCAGCCACATCCAGCCCTTGGCATTGATCGCCGCTCTGGCCTCGTTAGCCAGTGGACGGAATTCCCGCTCGTACTTCAATGGACTCGGCGGCTGGGTGGCTCCTGGGCCAACTCCTCCAGCTACCTGACAGCAGGTATTGGCGCTTAGCCCAAGCGAGGAGATGGCCAGCGACAGCGAGCCACAGACGGCGGCAGTGCTGCTGACATCCCCGGTGGTCAGCAGCATAGAGGCGCAGGTGCTGGCACAGGCGGAGGCGGAGGCACTGGCCGGGGAGCATACACCCACCGCTGCCGTGATCGCCGTCGTGGGCTCGTCGACGCTGGCGCTCTTCGTGACAATGGGTATCGGCGAGGAGGCGGTGGCGGTGGCTGAGGCGGAAGCGCTGGCCGTAACGGAAGCGGAAGCCGAGGCGGCCAGATGGCGCCCAAACGAGTTGCTGCGCGAGATCAGTTCGCTCTGGCTGAGCGACTCTCGCAAACGGTTCTCCTTCTCAATGAGCTCCAGCTCCGTCTCACTAAAGTCCGGATCGCTCAGATCACTGTACGTGGACTCGTTCAGATCGCTTATATAGTCCAGGGAACGCTTCACAAAGACACCTTCGCTGCCGATGCCACTGCCGCTCACGGCCACGCCCACCGCCGCCTCCTTCGGCTGGAGCGTCAGCTTGGTGAAGTTGATATAGCCCACCGGGCAGATGGGATCAGCGCTCGAGATGATCGTCTGTATGTCCTCGACGACGATGCGCTGGCGGAAGAGCGGGCAGTCCAGGGTGAAGGTCTCGTACTCCCCCCCCTCGCCGCACACATTCAGCCCGTACTTGTCGCGCATCTTCAGCAGGTGGGGCTGCATCTCGCGGAGGGACTTGCCCAGGTGCCGGTCCGGCACAAGACCCAGGGCGGCCACCTATAACAAGGGGGTATAAGGATTAAAAAAGGGTTTACTTCCAGGGCATGGAGTTTGTAGGGAATAGGAAGGATTAAGGAGGTTCTGGTTGAGGAAGTGGCCTGAAAAGTTGGCTTTATATGTATTATACTATATATATAAGGAACCCCAAGGTTCTGGGCTATAGATACCTGGTACTTTCTCAGACTGACATTGTTTAGGGTCTTTGGAACTTTAATTCCCAAGGTCCTAACTAATCCTAACTAAAACTTTATAAAATAATCTTAATAACTGATATTGTATGATATTTTATTATAAAAGACCATATCTTCCAAAAGAGTTATACTTTTAGGAGATATACCATTGGATCTGAAGTTCCAGCAATAGTTTCTTTAAAAAGAATAGTATTTTTATCGCCCTACTCCTAATATTACTCCTGGTTCTAGTCCTATTCCTAGTAGCTATTAAAGGTTTGGATCTTTTTCTACCAGTAACTGGTTTAGTTTGACAATAAACCTTATAAGATCTATTCTTTTAGGTAAACTATAACCGATCCTAATTATTCTACATATATTGTAAGTAGTATCCTACCCTAAAACCCAGTATCATAGGTATTCTATATTCATATGTTCTTGATCTATATCATAATAATTTAAAATAATAGCTCTATTTCTAGTACCTTTTGTAGTATTCCCACCACTATATATTATTCCTATCTTTAAAAAGTCCAAACCTTCCAGGTTATAGTATATATTCCAGGCTTTTAAGAACTATAAAATATATACATATATAATGCTATTCCATTTATATGTGATAAGTCTACACTCTATTACTAGTAATATCATCCTATATCTACTTTAAACCTTTATACCACTATGCACTTCATAGAAGTCATGATACTTCTTCATACTACTTTAATCTTCATAAGCCACCTTTTCAGAACTATAGGATTTAAGCAATTATATCCCAATTTTTAATATTCTGAAGCTATAGTACCATTAATATCACCAGTATATATATCCTACCTACTAATACTACTACCTACCTACTAATAATATTACCCTATACCTATTCCTATTTATGATTTCTAAACACTCCCTAACTCTTAACTAGTAACAGGTTTCAAGATATACAAAATCAGACCAAATATAATAAATTTTTCAATATAAGTAGTATTAGGGGTACTCTATATACTCCTCGTAACATCAGGCATAATATACCTATCCGTATTTATGATCTCTAAACATTTACAACCTTTAAAACTAATAAATAATCATAGTTCTAACTAAAATTATTTACAAATGGTATAATTTCCAGATCATATCCCATTTTTTAATAATCCCCTGATACCCTATGTATTATAATAATATCATCCTATACCCATCCCTATTAATTAAATACTCATTATAACTCATTATAACCCAATTATAACTCATTTTTTAATAATCCCCTGAAACTCTATTAATAGTAACATCATCCTATAGCTATCCCCAACCTTCAAACTAATAAACAAACCTATCGCTAATTACAATTATTTGTAAATGATATTATTTCCCGATCCAGACATAATCTAGATCCATTGGGGCGCTGAGATCAGTACATTCCGATCGGCTGGCATTCGGTTCTGTTGACCGGAGCTTTTCACCTGTGTTTGCTTGGACTAATTTTAGAAAAAGTCAACAGTCTAGTAGTAGTAACCAATAAACCAGGTTGGATGGAGATGTATATAGAGAGGTCTGTTAATAGTTACCTTAATGATGATGGCGTGCACCTGGCAGTCAATCATCTCCTGCAGCAGTTCAGTCTGATCTCTCCTCCACAAGTAGGCCAGGGATATCAGGCTGAGGCGACTGCAGACGTTCTCCACCCGGACACGTTGGTAGTCCGAAAGGATGGCGCCCACGGCCACAGCCTCGACCTGTAGTTCATTCTGTTTAAATAGAATTTTAATATATTATTATCTTTTTATTAAAAATGAATCACTTGCACTTAAATATGTACTTGTTTCTTTTCAGAATTCAAGTAGAAATTCCCCAACCTATCTACTTATCTTTTTTTTTTATTATTTAATTAATTTTTGCTGAGGGCACTCCTTTAACGAATGTTCTTATGACAGATACAGATACCATCGTTGAGTCTAAGGGGTCTAATGGTTAAGTAATATAAAGCTAAAGATCGGGGAAAAATAAGAGACTAAAAGAAGAACCCAAAGATTGGGCAGTTTTTGGGAGAATTCATTAAAAATTAAAGTTTTTTAATAACAAAATTAAATAAAATAATTTTTAAAACTTGCTTTTATAGTCTATCTAGTCTATAGTCTATAGTATATAGTATAGTATCTACTATAGGCTTTAATCTTCTATATATCTTCTATAGAAACCGAAATCCATAAATGTTTAAAATTTAAATACTTTTTGAAAGATTTTAGAAGATTACTATCTATTAAGAGCCGGTTTTTTCTACTCAAAATCACTATATTTTCATCTATTCTATCTAATCTATGCTTTTTATTAGCAATATACAAATATTTATAATACTCTTGATCTATAATCAAGTATTATAATATATAATACTTGATTATAATAATATAATATAATATAATATCGCATAGTATTATAATATATAATACTTATAATAATAGTCTTGATCTAGATCTAGTCTAGCAGTAAAATCTAGTAACTAAAATACAAAAATAGCTTAAGGCCCTTAGTTGCTATAGCTAAAATTCTTTAATAATTATAATAAAATCTAAAATTCTGTATTTAAAGTTTAAATTACTAAACAGCCACGCAGGCAGTATCTTCAAAATGAATTTAATTCTTAATCTTTGTGTTATTCACTTAAAAATGTAAATAAAATATAAAATATATACATTTTATATATATATATATATATAAATACTCTAATTAATGTAATTATATTTACAAAAGCTATCAGACAACAAGCAAATAAAATGCAAAAAAAAACAAAAATAAAAAAAATAACAACAATAAAAATAATTGCAATTACAGTTTGAATGAGATAATACTATATTTAATTATTGAATGCGACTGCCAAACTGTAATCATCATTAAGTCTCCTTGGCCGGTCGATTTTCTTCCATTATCAGAGGGGGTAAATAAACAAATTGTGCTGGCAGATTACTGGCTCCCATACCCCAACCCCAACCCCAACCCCAACCTCAGCACACATATTTATTTATTTATTTATGTATTTTGTTATTTTTTTTCTGTTTTTTTTTTAACTCAACTCGGGTTGGAATGGACGGTTCACGTGCACGACAACCAGCAAGTTCGTCCCATCTCGATGGTTCGGGAATCGCAAATCGCGATAAGATTACCGATGCCACTACCCTCCTCTACTTGCCACCCAACCAGCCCACAGCCCATACAGCCCACAACCCGATTACGTAGCTTTCAGTTGCAATTCTCATTCCAAGGACAAGGAAAGAAAAGTATCTTCTAGTAGCTGCAACAAGATACTCTACAAAGCCTTGAGGCATGCAACAGGTTCCATAGAAATAGACTCTGGACTCTGGATATATATCTTAAGGTCTGGCTATCGAATTTGATTTTCCACCAAACAGTTGCCAACTGGTGGCTGGAACTGGAGTATTCGATTTCGAGATTCTATCAAAGCTATTGGCCATCTGGCGATCAGTTTCTACTAGAGAATATATATACATATATCTACCGATATCTGGTTCGGTACCAGACTGGCAACTTGTTCTGGGTGGTGGAATTCCTCAGAATTAAATATCATAATTACTAGTAACTGGAAGGTATGGAATGGGGAGGTACTAGGATTTATTTTCCAATAAACAGAATTAATCGAATTAATCGGAAATGCTAACCAGATGTTGGAAGTAGAACCTAAGACTTGTTTAATCTCTAAACAGACTTACTAATAACTTAACTCAAAACTAACAATGATTCTAAAGAACTTTTAATTAAAATAGGGGTACTATAACGCTTACTTCTGAAAAATATATCGAATTTATCGATAAATAAATGTTTAAATGAATTAAGTTATAGTTATGAAGACATATTACATCTGTAAACTGAATTACTAAAAGGATAACTTGGATCTTATAAGATTTCTTGAAGAATCTTCTTTCAAAACAAGGATATTATTTTTCTTTTTTAAGAAATATATCGTATTAATCGAAAACTAGATAATAAAAAGGTTTAAGATATACTTTATCCCTAAGCTGACTAGCTAAAAACCCAACTGAGATCTTATCAAGATTTTAAAGAAGATTTCCTTAAATATTAAATCAAATTAAATTTAAAATAAGGGAATTAACGCTAATTTCAACAAAAATATATAGAATTTATCGGCAAGTAAATGATTAAAAGGTTTAAGCTATAAGATTTAAGATCTTTTTAATATTTAAGCTAACTAACCAAGATCTTTTAAAGATTTTCTAGAATCTATCTTAGAATATTAGGGATATAAACTTTCAAAAAAATTAACATTATCGATTGGATAACAAAATAGACCTTTCAAAGGTTTCTTAAAGTAAGAATTTAAGCTTGTTAGAGCTTTAAACCTAAAGCCTAGATCCTTTTTATAATAATAGCTCCTTCCTATAAACCAAAATACCCTCAACCATAGAGTACATAAGCTCCCAGCTCTTATCTCCCTGTTGAAATCACCTTGCATGTCTCCAGCAGACTATATAGATCCTCGACCTCGTCATCGTCCGTGGGCACGTACTGCTTGCCGGTCTGGGTGCTCTTGCCCTTGGTCTCGCGACGATATAGCGGCAATCCCATCGCATTGGCCAGTATCTCGATGCCCATGTGGCCCACTGTCTGGTACATAAAGCTGTCCAGTTCATCTGAAACGACGGCGATAGATCAAGGTAAGTGTGGTGGTAAGTGATTTGGCAAACAACGTCTTCAATAATAATAATAACCATCGATAATTGTGGCACACCCACCTTATAATGGTGGGAAGATAGAAGAGTTCTAGTTTCGGTACTCACCTCTATCCTTGGGATGGAGATTGGCCAAGGCAACAATCTCGTGGCCCTCGGCGACGCACTGCATCATGTTGTAGCAACTGTCCTTGCCGCCGCTGACCATCGCCACGACCCGCATCTTGACTTCTATGTTTTTTCTGGGATGTCCTGATGATGTACCTTAAACCTTTGCTAATGCCTGCTAGCTGTCACCTGGGTAGCCTGAGCTACTTGGTTATTTTAATTCTTATTATTTTTTTTTTTTTTTTTTTGGTTTAGTAGTTTGTGCTGCTGTTCCAAGTTTGGTCTACTTTGTTGACTAGACTGATTGGGGGGATTCTTTCTCTCTCTGGCTACCTCCTCGTCCACTGTCCACTGTCCACTGTCACTGTTGCCGTTGTGCTGGTATTTGTTGATTTGCTTGGTCGGCTCCTGGTAGGGTTGGCCACCTCCTGCTCCGCTCCACCGCCGGGTGTGCCTGTTTTTTTTTTAATGAAAGTTAAGTGGCCCAGGTTAATTCTTCTTCTTCTTCTTGTTGTTGTTGTCAGTGGCTTTCAAACTGTAAAACCGGGCCATAACAAATCGAATTATGTTGTACAAAGTGCAGCAGCAGCAGCCCCCAAAGGATCTGATTGCATTATCGCAGGACATCTGCTTCCTCACTCTCTCTCTCTCTCACTCTCACACACACACTTTGGGAAAGGACATGCTGTATATCCTTTACAGCCAGTTCCAAATTGGGAGGAAGGAAAGCCGAAGGTCACATAAAAACATACAGACACTGCATTTCTTATTTTAGACAAATATTGAAAGAAATGAATGTGTTTTGTTTGTTTTTTTTGTTTCTTTGTATTAAATTTACGTTTATAAATAAATCGAATTAGTTGCGCCGGCAGAAGAAGCGCGTGCGTTTCAAGAAGAAGAAATAAAAACAACAACAAATCGACATACACCACAAAGCAATAAAGGAAGGAAAAGAAAAAAAAAACAGAAAACGAAAGTAAAAAGAAATTAAGGAAAATGGATGTTATAGAAACTTACACACACACAAACACTTGACACACACACACACAGAAGGCGACTAGCGCCACACACACACACACATACTACTGTGTGACCCAAATATAAAAATGTATAGTATTTTTTGCAACATATAACCATTTATCTTGGAACATTCATTCGCCGATTTGCCAAACACACACAACACAAAACAACAACAATAACAATAACAACAAGACAGCAAACACACAGAAACCGAAAACAGAAACCGAACAGAAACAGAAACAATAACAACAGCAGCCGCACAGGATAACGGGATAAATGGCACGTTGAGGAATGCGCTAAGCTGGATGCTGCTGGGAGCTCCGGGTGTCCGTGGTTAGCCGTCGCCGGCAGGTCGGTGGAGCGACTTACGGTTATGGGCATTAGTGTATTGGTTTTATTACGGCGCTTTGGGGCGCTTGAGCCAGGGATGTCGAAAACTATTCTAGCCAGGGCTGTCGATAACTTGATCTTTTCACAAACTATCGATAGCACCTTCTAGAGATGGGGTAAGGCTGCCAGATCTGTGATTCGGTAAGGCTGCCACAGTTTTTTTTTTAAAAAAAGCTATGATTTTATAAAAATTCTAGTCGTTATAGAAATATAATATAATCTATACAGATTTTAGGAATTTTAACGGTCATTGGGAAAAGCAAAGTAAATACAAGATATAACTTGGCGCGAATCCAAAGTTGATATATGAACTCAGTTATATAGTAGCTATAGTATATAGTAAGCTGATGCTTATAAAATGGTGTTGAAAGGAGTGGAATATAAGGCCGATGGGGAGATAATAAATGGATATAAATAAATGGATAGAGCCGAATAGGACCTCCAAAGAAAGTCAAAGAAATCATCCTCACACGAAGTACTGGTAGAAACTCGAAATCCATTATCAGAAGTGAAGCTCGACGACATTTCTAATAGACTCTAAAGCTCCAAGGTATGTAGAAAAATTAAACTTGTGGTGGACCCTTTACTTTATACCAGATATCAAAAATATCATCACCGTATATCACCAGGGCGTTTCTAATGCAGGGAAAACCTTTTTAATATGAAACAAAAATTTATGTTGATGTAACATACATACATACATACAAAGGTTTCGTTAAAGCTTTTTATAAGCATTTTTTATAATAAGCAAATTAACTAAGAAAACAAAAAAAATCAGTAAATTGGGAAACCGTCGTTCTTTCGTCAGACAAACCATTGGCCTTTAATTTTGTTTGTCAAAATAGACCATATTGGGTAAAACAAATAAAGTAAAATAAAAAAAAGTAAAAGTAAAATAACTAAGAAAACAAATAAAAAATCAGTAAATTAGGAAACCTTCGTTCTATCTTCCAAAACCTATATTTCAGGTATATTCATCATAAACAAATTTATTCTTAACAAAAAAAATTATAAATTAGGTTTAGGGTAACCATCCGGATCTGTACAAGTGCCAGGTACCAACTTGGTTAACAAAAATAAAATAATTTATTTCTAATCAGCATAAAATCATAATCAGCATAATCAGTCAGCAAAATCATTGGCATTTAATTTTGTTTGCCAAAACTATGGCCCATTGTAGGTAAAAAATAAAGATAAAAATAAAAAATAATCAGTTTAAAAATTTACATCTTTACAAAAAAGAATATATTTATGTTATTTGATTATAAATAAATGAAACCATTGGCCTTCAATTTTGTATGTCAAAATTATAGCCTATGCTAGGTAAAATAATTAAAACCAAATAAAAAAAATAAAAACTAAGAAATCCAAATGTGGATAAGTCAGCAAACGAGGACCAAAACCAACTGCATAAAAATAAAAAAAGGAAAAAAGAATAAATATCACAAAGGCGTTCGATATTTATGACCACTTTCCAAGAACACAGGCCAAATTTGGGAAAAAAATAATAAAAATAAAATAAAATACAAAATAAAGACTTGTCATTCGGAAAGCAGAAGCCCGAATGCAGTTGATAGGGAAACGGATTCCCTTTATATAGCCCAATTCCAGTGCTGCAAAATGTTAAAAAAAAACTGAAAAGGATTTCCGGCGGCAACTAAAAATCAGTGTTGATCAACGTAAACCAGCTGTAGTTGTGGAAATGGTATGGTATTTCGACTAACCTGTGCGACGGTCACACTAAAATAGCAAAAACAAACAACAACAAAGTCACTACTACCGCAGCTAGATAGAAACAGGCCAGCAATCAAAATAATAATAACAACAACCAAAATATAAATACTATATAATAGATTGTGTGCGAAAGTGTCCCCCCTGCTGAAGATTACACAAAAATCCGAAAAAAAACTGCACAACTAGGCAGCCAGTCTGGTGAAAAATCGTTCGTTTTTTTTTTTGTATTTTCTTTCGGCCAGGACTCGTTCTTTTTGTTTTTTTTTTTGGTTACATTTTGTGTTGTTGCGACGCATAAAATCCAGACGAGTAAAATAAGTGAACGGCCATTGATTGTATTATTTAACAAAAAAAAACAAATAAATAAATATCAGAAAAACATCAGTGGCGACTTAATGTCGCAGTTAATTTGTATGCTATCGAGAAGAAGAAGCAGAAGCAACAACAACAACAATAACAGCAGCAAAACTAGCAGTAGCAACGTGTTGTGTTTGTATTGGTGCGCTCACAGTGCGCACAGCAAAGCCAACAAGAGGGCGGCAGCGGCAGTGACGGTGGCAGAGGCACAAGCAGAGGCAGAGAAGCGATTTTGAAATAATAATAAAAGCCAAAACGAAAAAGTTTTCTGTGAGCTGGAAAAGGCGAACAAGAGTAAAGCACCATATTATCCCGCAACAGCCCACTTTTAAAACATTTTCAACGGGGGGCGTGGCAAAGGCGAAAGGGTAGACCAAAAAAAACCCAAAAAAAAAAACAAAATTACAAATAACAAAAATATAATAAAAAAAAAAAGGGGGGGAAAACGAAACATTGAAAACGCAGTTTGAGTTTCGAGATTGTTGCTGCTGCTGCCGCCTCCAAAACTAACGAAAAAGGAACACAAGAGACAACAGACAACCACCCCCGCTCCCCACTCCAACTACACACACACAGAGAGAGATCAACAACAACAAAGCAAAGAGCGAGAGAGAGAGAGAGTCAGCTTGCCAGCAGCTGAAAACATATGATTTTTGTTTGTGTTGTTGTTTTTGCGCGCGCTCTTCTTCTACACGGCCAGAGCAAGCGGACCAACTGAGAACGGGGAACGGGCGAATCGAACGAGTGGCCGGAACGATTGGAATTGTTGTGTTGTTGTGTTTCAGCTGCTCTGCTGACGGAACAACGCAAGTGGTAAGTGGCTCTTCTTCTTCAAGTTTCTTCTTCTGATGTTTTTGTTTGACGCGCAAAAAGAAAATCTATGTGCGAATAAGTGTGTATGTGTGTGTGTACATAACGTAGGTGAAAAAAAAATAAGTTTTTTTTTTTTTTGTATATTTATGCAACTATTTGTTTATTGTGTGCGCCCTTCCTACTTAGCTGGCGTTAAAAATTGTGTAAAACAAAGAGCTAATAGCTCTGCCAATGGCAATGAAATAGAAAAAAGAAGCAAAGAAAGAGTACGCCTGGTTATAAGACACCACCTAGAGATTGCAGTTATTTAAATGTCAAAAGTAGTGGAAATTTGTTTTGGCTGTGACGCGAAAATACAATATTTCAAAACACAAACAATGATGAAAAAAAAAAATAAAAAAAAAAACACACACAGATACACTCGTTGGCTTGCTCTCCCTAGCTGGCTCTCGCCACTTTTGTCTCTTTCTTGCTCACGGACACCACAAATACAATATACATATATACGCAGTGGGAAATATTGGTGCGCATTAGACGACGAAGAGCAACAACAAAGCAAACTATACGAAACGAACACTGATAGTGAAACATATATTTGGTTACAGTGTGATAAGAAACAAAAATATTGATTAATAAACAATATTGTTATCGCAAACAAATAACTTTGAATACATAATCTTAAAGTATCTTTCCATCAAAGAGTTATTTAATCCAATTAAAAAATGTCACTGTGAATGAATCATATTATTTTATTCAAGTTATATTAAATATATACAGTGACCTTTAGGTTGTGTGAGACCACTGTGCAGTGCTGAGAGTTCAGCGAGAGAGCAAGGTAGAACTAGTGGGAGAGAGCAAAACAACATTTCGTTGCACTATGGGATATAATGGGATATTAGTTTTTTAAATATTAATATAATATTAAAAAGTTTTCGATTTAAATTTGTTTCAATTATATCTTATACTTTCATAAATCAAATATTATTTTATGAGCTATATAAAAAATAAATGTCCCACAGTGCCTTGCAGCTGAGTTGCCGTTATTGTGCTTGTGTGCATTCAAGTGCATCTGTGTGTGCGTGTGTGTGTGTGTTTTGTTGTTATTGGACTTACAGTTGTATTTGTTAGATTTTTGTTTTCATTTTGTCCTCCCTCTCGCTCTGTCTCTTTTGTTACTTGGTTTTGCCTTCTGTACGTACGTATATTTTGATAATTGCTGTGTTTTTGGCTCTTTGTTTTCAAAATTGTATCAATAGCCAAAAAACAATAACAAAAACAACAAACGAAAATAACAACAAAAGCAAAAGTATTTGGATGACACAAATTTTGTATTTCATTTTCGCTTCATTTACAAAATTAAAACGCACATCAACCGATGCCATTAAAAGTGACATTTTTTTCAATTGCCCACCACCCCCACCCCCCTTTACCCATCCCTCAAACAAAAATATTTTTTGCTTACATACCTCCAAATAGAAATGTTTGCCAAAAAAAAAAAAAAATCTGACAATCTGGGTTCTAATGTTTGGCCAAGTGGGCGGATTGGCATTGACAATAAGCCCCAAAGACAGAATACGAAAAAAAAAGCGAAAATTGCATTCCTTCCTGTCAACAGTACAGGTAGACTTCGTTAAGGTGAACAGGAGGGGGTCTCTTTTTAGGATAATTTATTAAAGATATTAAATATATCTTAAATCTTTAACTTTCACTAAATTAGTAACTTCTTAAAAACCCGATTAAATAGAGCTCTTAAGTTTAAGATTTAAATAAGGCGATGATATCATAGTCTTTCCTTTTTTAATTAAGTCATAAATAAGCTCTTAATTTATATTATAATACAAATATTTTATATCTCCTCACACTATTTCTATAATAATAGTTATTCCCTATCCATGCTACACTGTACCTCTCCCATGAGGCATGCTAGTTAGTTTTATCTAGCTAGGGGCCCCGAGGAGGGTTTCTTTGTTCGCCCAAGGACTGCCAAAGGTTGGGGGGGGGGGGACGCGAACGCAGTTGCCTTATCACCAGGTGTTAGGCACAGGTGTGGAGGGGGGCGTGTGCTGATATACTGTATTTCACATCATCGACGTTGTTTTTATGGAAGTTATATGTATGTATGTATATATGTTTTCACTTGCAATCTGTCGAAATAATCAGCTGTTGGTTGGGTTGATGAACTTATGCCTATATAGGATCCGTTTCACAAATAAACACACTCTACCTAAAGAGCTAAAGAGAGATATTTGAATCAAAAGTGCTTTGCCCAAAAAAAAAAAAAAAATACATAGATGATTTTATTACGAATTACGGTAATCAAAATGCATACCTCACAGTTGAATGAGTCTATGTGTGTGTGTGTGTTTGTTGTGGTGTATTTTTAGTAACACCTGTTTGCAAAAATGCAAAACCATAAGGTACAGTCGTGTGTGTGAGCTATTTCTCTTTGTCCGCCGAATCATTGTCTTGGAGAGAGTGAGTCGAAAATGGGATTAAATATTTTGATGAAATAACTGTTAATACCGTGTTTTAAAGATCTCTCTCTCTCTCTCTCTCTTAGTTCCTTTAGCCTTCTTTCCCCTAACTAACTTTTAATAATTAAATAATAATTTAAATATTCTTGTAGCGTTTTTATGGAATTTGGACTGTATTAACATTGAATTCTAGCCATGAAATAGTGCCTATTGCTGAACAAAGACAAATGCATTACTGAATGTCCCCATGGGGTTGAGTGCAAGAGAGATGGCCTGAGGGGGAGGCTCTCCCTAGTTTCTCTTTGACTTTTCCAAGCAATGGGTGTTGTCTGTGCGTGTGACATTGCTTTGAACGGGCTTGTTGCTGTTACAGTTATTGTTTTTGTTATTGTTTTTGTTGGTGCGCGTGTGCCGACCCAATTGAGGAATGCAGCGTATGCAACGGTACCCCTTTCACATGTTCCCTCCCCCTACTGTGTAGGCATACCAGCACCCATAACATCCCCCTTGTTCACCCCTGATCCTCCTTTGTCATTCGTGCGTCACTATAAGCTTTTGTGATACCGTTTTTTTTCGGCTTAACCCTTGACTGGAGATGCCTATCGAGATTGGGGGTTAAATTTTATTTTCAATTTCTTACAAAAATGCATTTATTTTTTGTTTTCTGGAATATCCTCTCTCTCTCCCTCTCTCTCTCTCTTTGAATTTCGCAATTTGAATCATTTTGTAAGTCGTGTCTTATCATTTGCCAATTCCTGATGCCACTGCGAATACTAAGTACTATATGCATTTATAGTTTCGCTTGTTAATTACCTCATTTTTCTATCTATAAGGCCCACACGGGTGGGGGGCCGAGGGACTGACCCACGTGTGTGCGCAGCTGGAAAAGTTTTTTTCGAAAAAAAAAAAAAAATTGCATTAAATCGTAACTTGAGTAATCATGCATGGGGATCGTTCACCCGTGTCCCATAGGGAGGGGATTTTTAATTGTTTATACCCATGTAGAGAGAACTATTAAATCTAAAAAAAATTAAAATAAAATAAAAATAACAGTTATTTCTATTGCATCATATTTATTTTTTTTTATTTAATTTGTAAGGCTTGGTAATATCTATTTTTGATTACCAATCACTTTTCAGTAATATATTTAAGCTTTTTTTTCCCCCCCAAAAACTTCTTTGTGTTTGCATATTGCGTTCTGTTGCGCCCCCCATTCGCTGCTGCTGCTGCTGCTGCTGACTGCGAATTTGATGCGAAAACGGAGCGGAAACAGAAACAAGAGAAGCTCCAACCAAAAAAAGAAAAAAAAACTAGAAGCTAAAGGCTATATAGCAGCTGTTGATATAACTAAACCTGAACCCAAAACCAAATCCAAAAACCAAAAGCTGAAGCAATGGCCTGATGATGGCTGCCTGACTTTGGGGCTTTTGTTTTTGTTTTTGTTTGAAGCTTGTTTTAGTAAAAAAAAAAAACATAATACCCATTAGTTCTATAATAAACCGAGGGCATATTAGTTTTTTATTTAATTATAATTTTTTTTTTTTATTATTTATTGTCTCCTCACTAGGGTGGCCTATTGTCTCCTCACTAGCTTCAATTTGTTCAATTTGTTGGCCAGTTTAGTTTGTTGTTGTTTTATTGCACTTAATTTACGCCCCATGTAATTGAAATTGACCAAAGCAAAGGGGGGAGAAATACATAAATACATACATATGTACATATGTATAATACAAGATAAAATAACAACTGAATAATAATAAAACTTAAAAACAATAAACACAAAAACAGAAAGTACACGTAATTCGCTAATAAAGTGGTAAGACCAAGTGGGTGGCTGCAGGGGTGGTGGGGGGTAGGTGGTGGTGGTGGTGCCAAGATTGAGGAAATTTTGATTGAGACAAAGGGAAAAAAAAACGGAATAACGAAGCACAACGAAAGAGACTGCGAAGTGCGCACCTAAAGGGTGGACCTATTGTAGACCAAATATCCTCCAAAGAAGATTTACCTTAGACTAGACTAAGCTTTTATTTTAGTTTTAAACAATAAATGGTCTAATTAGTGAGTTTCCACTTGTATAAATTTCACTCTATATATTTTCTCACCTTTAGAAATTTCGCTGAAAAAATGTAGTTTTTAAAAAAGGTTTGGGAGTATAACTCATACGCAGTGGGTTCAAAAAACCATTTTTTTTCAATAAAAAGATGAATTTTTACTTATAATTATACTTTTATTTATTCTTTATATGAAATTATCAAAATAATATAACATGAAGTATTAAAAAATATAAATTACGTTCTTAAAATAGGGCTTTCTGAAACGTTTATAATATTACTCATACGCAGTGGTTTCCACGTGCACATGCACTCAAAAGTATGTTTTATTCATGAGTTGTAGGTATAACCGTAGAATTACAAATAAATATGTAAAGATTTTGCTTAAAAATATATAAAATATTAAATTTAAATTACTTTCTCAAAGTAAATATTTTTGAGTCAGTAAACAATATTACTCATACGCAGTGGTAACTACGTATGAATATTACGTATGAATATAATTGAATAATTTATAATTAAATAAACCTTTAAAGCCTGATATTTTTATTTATAAATGTAATATTTTCATAAAAATTAATAATTAATAACGACAGAAAGATATTCCTTGTAATACAAGGATTACGCACAGGTGCGCAGTGTTTACTACTACTAACAAAACAACTATCTTTTTATAAGCTTGAAACCCGACGCATTAAAAATATTTTTTTTCAATTTTAAAAACAAAAACAAAGGGAGAGCCAAACTGCCACCCTGTCTGCTTTGTTTAAAAGCTATCTTGCAAAAGCATATGATAACACAAAGAATGTCTAATTGCTACCCATTTATAGACCTACAGTGGCTTTCACCTGTTGAGGTCCACCCCAATGCCCTTTGCACGTACAAATAGAGAGAAAGCGAGAGAGAGAGAGAGAGTGAGCGGAGAGAGTGGTTGGGTGGCTGGGTGGAAAGGTGTATGTGTGAGATCAATTTTGTTTATTTATTGTTTTTTGCTCTCCCATTGCAGTTGACAACAAGGCGCGCAGCGGAAGAGGCAGAAGCAGAGGAAGAAGCAAACGAGAGTAAATAGGCAGAGCAGCAAAACAGAGCGACTGATAGAAAGGGACACCAAATAGCGAGAGAAGGAGAAGCAGCAACTGCAGATCACAGACACTGTGTCTCCGGTGGCAGCGAGAACAGCTGGAATAGCCAGCAGGGTCACTAGAGAGGATTAGAGGAAGCCCCACCCACTGCCAATCCACTGCCCTCCAGTGTGGAGGCACTGCATCAGCGGCAGCAGCTGTGGTAGCAGCTAAAGAGGAGCGTCTCCGGCGGAGAGCATCCGGCCAATACCTTCCGGACAGCATCCCCAGCACCGCCACATCATGTCCGCGGACTCGCCACGCCGCCATCCCTCCGGCGTTGTCGTCGGCCTTGGATCGGGTTCAGGGTCGGGGTCCGGGGCCGGATCGGGATCCGGCGGAATGCGTGGCGCTGTGCCCGCCGTTGTGCCACCACAAACGGTATCGGATCGCTCGATCCTGGACTCGGCCATCGGGTTTATCAACGATGTCACGCTGGCCAATCAGCCGGTGCAGGATCCCAAGGACACCATTACCTGGGCCCGCTTCGAGACCTGTGCCGATGTGAGTGATCCCCGGTTCGGCGACGACTGGGAGCTGGAGGGGAATGCGGCACCGCCGCTCCTCCTCATCCTTGGTTACGGCCTGGGCGTCCAGGTGTGGGCCATTCCCGCCAACGGCGAGGCCGTCGAGGTGCTCTCCTGGCGACACGGCGTTGTCACTGCCCTCCGGGTGCTGCCCACGCCGGCTACAGCCCCCGCCTTGGATGACAACGGTCGGGCGGACGAGCCGGTCGATGGCTTCGCCGAGAAGCGTCCTCTGGTGGCGCTCGTCGACGGCGGCAGCGCAGCGGCCAGCGGTCTTCTATCCGGCGGCCCATCGGGACTAGGCGGCGGCCTGGCCAGCAGTGGCGGCTCAGCAGGACCCGCATCCTCGGCGGCCGCCCAATTCAGTGCCGTGAACTTCGTCTCCCTGAAGACGGGCGCCCAGGTGAAGACGATCAAGTTCAAGAACGCCGTGCTGGACATCCAGGCGAACCGGTCAGCGGTGGTCATCACCTTCCACGAGCGGATAGCCGTGTTCGATGCCAGGACGCTGGAGGACCGCCTTACCATAACCACCTGCTATCCCAGCCCGGGGTGAGTTCGGCTTGCAGAGCCATTCCAAGACATATCCTTATTCTGGTTGTGTGTATTCCTTTCAGGATCAATCCCAATCCCATTGCCTTGGGACCGCGCTGGCTGGCGTATGCGGAGCACAAGCTGCTGCACTCGAAGCGCAGCGGCGGCGGCTGCGACGGCGAGGGCGTCCCCAGTTACACCGCCACCGTGCTCAACGCGGCCAAGTCCCTGGGCAAGGGCCTGCGGGAGTTTGGTGAGCAGGTGGCCGCCGGACTCACAGGCACCACCGCCGGCAGCGGCGCCAGCTCCAAGAGCAGTAGCTTCGACTCGGCTAGCGGTGGACCGGATGCCAAACAGTCGGGTGTGGTGACCATAATCGATGTCAAGGTGAGTAGGAGGTATGAGAACCAGTTGGAGTTCCTAAACTAATCCCTTCATCCATAGCATCCCGTCAAGGACTATAGTCCCACGTCGGGGACACCGCTGAGCTCCAGTGGTGGCGCCCAAGCTGGCGGCGATCCCATCGTGGCACACTTTGTGGCCCACAGCGAGGCTTTGGTGGCCATGGAGTTTGATAGCTCCGGGATGTTGCTCCTTACGGCCGACCGGCGGGGTCATGACTTCCATGTGTTCCGGGTGCAGCCGCATCCGGTGGGTAGCAGCCTGGCCGCCGTGCACCACCTGTACGTGCTGCATCGGGGCGATACGAGCGCCAAGGTGCAACATATTGCCTTCTCGCTGGACTCGCGCTGGGCGGCCGTGTCGACGCTGCGCGGCACCACCCACGTCTTCCCCATCACGCCCTACGGCGGCGCCATGGGCGTTCGCACCCACACCTCGCTGCACGTGGTCAACAAGCTGTCGCGCTTCCATCGGAGCGCCGGGCTGGGCGCCGACGGTCGCTCCAGCTCCCCGATCTCGCACTCGGAGAGCATGACGTTCGTCCAGTCGCTCCAGCCGTACCACAATCCCACGCTGCCCCCCTACCCGCGGCCATCGGTGGTCCAGCCACTGGCCCAGCTGCGTCAGCCCTTCACGCTGGGCACACCGCCCGGATCGGCGGGCCTGGGCGTGGGCATTGGCGGCGGTGTCGGTGTCGGCGGCGGCATGACCTCGGGTGTCAGTTCGGGCGTTCATGGAGGGGTCGGAGGCGGCGGCAGTAGCAGCCAACGGCAGCGACAGCGCCTCTCCTCGCTCTCGGACGACAGCGGGAAGCCGTTGAGCGTCTGCTCCATATTCGCCAAGTCGCGATCCTGGCTACTGGAACCGCCCACGGCGACCAGAGAGGCACCGCATCGCGTCCAGCGAAAGGCGGTGGACTCGCTCTTCGTGATGGCCGGCCATGGGGCGCTCATCCAGTACGATCTGGACACGAAGCTACCCTCAAGTGAGTTTCTATTTTGATTGTCCGTCCTGGATATCCTTTTAATCCTTTATCCCCTTGTCCTGTGTAGATGTTGCCAAAGAGAAGATTTGTGATGACACGCCCATCGAACTGGAGGTGGAGGCCCGGGCCCAGTGGAATCTGGGCAGGCGCAAGGATGGATCTCATGAAATCAAACCACCGCTGGCGCTGGACAACTGGCTGATCAAGGATCGCCATGCCAGCCTCCTGCTGGACAGCGCCCATCAATTCGACGAGCCGGACGAGCGGGCCGAGAGCTGGCTAGCCCAGGTGGAGATTATCACGCATGCGGGTCCCCATCGTCGGCTCTGGATGGGACCGCAGTTTGTTTTCAAAAACTACAACACGCCCAGTGGGTAAGGACTCTCTTTCCTTTGGAAGGATCTAGAATCCTTAGTAATGCTCGTCTCCCCAACAGTTCCAACCTGAACCATGTGGACGCGGAGGCTGTAGAGATTGGCGTCACCAAGACGTCTAGCACAACGCTGCCTTCCACAGCAGCCGGCTCCTCATCCTTGGCCACTGGCTCTGGTGCCGCCAAGGATCGATCCAGTCCCCTGAACATGCCGCTGAGTGCCGCCGCCGCAGCTGCCGCCTCGGTGGGAGCAGTCGGCGTGGGTGGTGGCGGCGGAGGCTCATCCCTGACAAGTCGCAGTGGTGCCGGTGTGCCTGTGCTCATTGAATCGGGCTCATACAGTAAGTGGAGGAGCTGGCAGGACCTCCTCGGTTTATGATTCCAGCTACTAATCCTACCTCTGACTTCCAGGCAGCATCGAGCAGAGTCCCAAGCTGATGGATCGCTTCCGGCACGGCCATTTGGATTCGGATTACGGACATGGGGACACGCGTCTCAAGGAGGATCTGGCAGATGCTATGCGGGAATCGCCATCAACGGCGGCGGCGCGACGCGAGACATCCGGTGAGTGGCTGATCCAAGTCCTGGCAGGATAAAGGACATCCTTCATATAGACTTACTAGCATGTTGAAAGACTCTTCTTGTACAAGAGCTGATGGTTCCTGGAGATGGGGTCCGTTTGGGGATAGGTCCTCTGTGCTGGGGGCTTTGGGAAGGACGCTGTTATCCTTTCCAGCCCCCAGGATAAAGGGCTTGAGTCCCGATAGCCCAGATCCTGGAACTGGAAGCTATTTCGTTGATCTCTCGATGTTTTTGAAAATCTTTTTATATTAATTTAATTTTTTTTAATTTATGATTTAAATTTTAAATCAATGTTTTTTGTTTTAAAAACACACACACATATATATTTTAAAGAAACATACATTTTATATATATTTTTTAATTCTTATAATTTCCAAAACGCTTTCAAAATGAAAATGTTTAATTCGAAAAATATTTTTGGTGTTTTTTAAAAACAAAAAAGAATATAATAATTTTTTTTAAATTAAAAAAAAAAAAAGGACTTGAAACACCACGAAATTGGCATTGGTTGTTGGTTGTTGATAATGATAATGATGATAATGATATATCATGATGATAATGATAATTCTGATGATCCATTCCATTCTCCCTTCTCTTTCTCTCCATGACTCCCTTAACCCTTAACCTCTTAACCCCCCAAAAGCATGCTACTTTTGCTTCCTCATCTGCCTAATTCCATATCCTTGATCTCCATTTTGTACAAGTGTGCCTCTCTGTGTGTGTGTGTGTGTGTGCGTGTGTATTTGTGGTGTAAGTTGGTGTTTTTTTTTTTCTCTTCAACTCTCTTAGTTTTTGAACTTTTTTTACTTTTTCTAGCTGGAAAAAATGAGAATTTTTTATGAAAAATTAACCCATAAACTCTCTCTCTTTCTTTTGGTGTTTTTTGTTGTTTAGCCTTTAAAAAAATTGATAAATATTTTATAAAAAAAAAAAAAAAATTTATTCTAAATTTAAGCTAACAAAATTTTTAGATCACAGCAGAAAAGAAAAATCCACCACACCTTTTTGCCCCCCACAGACAAGCACACATACGCTTAACACCTGTTTGCCCCCATTGGTCGCTGTTTAACCCCTTGACCTTTGTGCACTGCTTTCTAAGGGTCCTTTGAAACTTTCTCTATAGGTTCCTCCCTAACCTCAAAATGCTTTCTTCCACCAAACTCACCACACTAGCATAGCACACCTCTTTTTTTCCACCTCTCTGTGTTTTCGCTGCTATAATTCTCAACCTCCTGGTCGGTGGCTTCGGTTTCTTTATGTTTTTTTTTAAATAATTCTTAAAAAATCCTAAAAAATTCGAAAGAAAGTAATTTCATTACACGAGTGCGAGTGAGACGGCTAGAGAGTGATTGTGAAATGAAGAGAGAAAGCGAATGGGTGGAGGGCCAGAGGGCCAGAGCGAAAGAGAGCGGGTGGGAAGAGAACAGTTGAGAGGAAAGAGCACATTAATCTACATGAATCTCTTAATAAAAAGCCAAAGCCATAATAATTTCGAAAACGCAACAAAAAAAATTTACAAAATTCACGAAAAACTCCAATTTTATATTCTCCAGTTTTCTTTATTATTTACCCAAAAATCAATGCAACATCGTGTACTTGTCACGCTATTTTTCTAAACATTTTTTTTTAAATTCTTTATATATTTCGTTTCGTTTTCACACTAAAAAAAAAAAACAATACAAAAAATAATTATAAAATAAATAAAATTTAATAAAAACAAAATCAACAAAAACAAATCAATGAACAAAATTTTAATTTCAAAACTTTAATTTTTTCTGTTTCACGTTCAATTTCATATTTTGTTAATTTTTTTGAGTGTTTTTTTTACGCTTCGGTCGATCAACTGCTCAAGAAAATGTAAAAAATTCCAAATACAAATATTTGAAGACATTTTTCGCAGCTCCAACAGCTTTAAAAAATAGAAATTCAAGAAAAATCATTAAAAAACAAAACAACAATGCAAATAAATATATTTAAAAAAATTAAACATTTTCGAAAATGAAAAAATTCTAAAATTCTGAAACTCTGAAATCAAAATTCCGCCTTTGGCTTTTTGTTTTTTGTTTCCTGTACGAAACCCACAAAAAATGATGCGCTTTTTCTCATAATTTGTTTTCTCTTCTATTTTCTCTTTTTCTCCGCTCTGTGTTCTGTGTGTGCCCCGTGCCCTGTCCGTGCCACCGTTGTTGCCCCGCCTCCAGCCGGTTCCGGAGTTCCGATCGCTTCCGACTACGTCCATCGCTCCGCTTCGGGCCCTGGCCGATCCTCGCCAGCCGGCAGCGTGGAGGCTATGGCGACCGTGACTAGCTGTGATAATGCCTGCTACTACGATGCCCTGGCCGAGCACGAGACGAGCCCCAACGATCTGGGCCTGGACGAGGCCGAGGAGCAGGAGCAGGATGTCGAGGGTGGCGCCTCCGCCATTGCCGCCCTGGCCTCGGTGCTGCCGAACATCTGTAGCTATTCGCGGGTGGAGAAGATGGTGAATCCATTGGGCACGGTGACGGACCTGAATGCCGGCATCTCCGGGGAGCTGCAGACGGACATGCTGGACGAGGTGGTCGGCCAGTTGGCCGCCGAGGAGACCGTTATCCATGAGAACTGTGACGAGGCCCTCTTCCGGCCGGTGGTGGCCATTTTCTGCAACGATCCGGTCGAGCGACGGAAGCTCCTGGCAAAGGGTGAGAAGGACGTGGGTGACAAGGAGGCCCCGGATGCAGGGGCCAGTTGCCAGCCCCCAGTGGTCCTGGGGAACAAGCTGATAGTGCCTGTCATTGCCAAGGAGGTGGACGAGGTGCTGGTCCAGAAGGAGAAGCAGAAGACCCAGAAGCAATCGCACAAGGTCCTCCAACAGCAGCAGCTCCAGCTCCAGATCCAGCAACAACAACAACAACAACAGCAGAAGCAGCAGAAGCAGCAGCAGCAACAACAACAACAGAAGGATTCCCTGAGGTCCTTGGCGGCTGCTGAGGATGCTGCTCAGGCCCAGAGATTTGCGGAACTGTCTCATCTCAACAAGCCGAAGGGTAATCCGGGCAAGAGCTCCAGCCAGAAGAGCGGGAGCGGTACCTCCGAGGACGAGGCCACTTCAGTCACCATTTCCTTGACGAAGTCCACCAAGAAATCCAAGGGAGGCAAGTCAAAGGTGGCTCTAAAAGCTCCGGAGAAGAAGGAGCCCGAGGAGAAAAAGCCCGAGGAGAAGAAGCCCGAAGAGTCGGATGGGGAATCGGATCATGCGGACAGCTTGCTGGCCAACAAGGGAAGCATTGCGGCCGTCATGGTGAGCAGTGCCAGTGCCCAGGGATTGAGTCTGCACGTCGAGACGGAGGAGGAGGAAGAGGAGCAGCCCTTGGTGGCAGATTCCTGGGATAAGGAGGACACCGAGGAGGAGCAGAAGGAGGAGGAACCTCAGCCCGTAAAGGTGGTAACTAAGAGAAAGCAGACATCGGGAGCCACAGCAACCATGACAATCGAAAAGAGCAAGGATAAGAGCAAAGAGAAGGAGAAAGAGAAGGAAAGAGAGCGCGAGGAGAAGCTTAAAGAGAGGGAGCGGGAGAAGGAAAGAGAGCGCGAGGAGAAGCTTAAAGAAAAGGAGGAAATGGAGAAACAAAAAGAAAAAGAAAAGCAGGCGAAGCTCAAGGAAAAGGAACGAGAGGAGAAGCAAAAAGAAAAGGAAAGAGAAGAAAAGCTCAAGGAAAAGGAGAGAGAGGAGAAGGAGAAACAAAAGGAGAGGGAGGCGAAGCTCAAGGAGAAGGAACGGGAGGAGAAACTCAAAGAAAAGGAAAGGGAGGCGAAGCTCAAGGAGGAGAAGCAAAAGGAGAAGGAAAGAGAGGAGAAGCAGAAGGAAAAGGAACGAGAGGCCAAGATCAAGGAGAAGGAGCGCGAGGAAAAGGAGAAGGAAAAACTGAGAAAACAGAAGGAAAAAGAACGCGAAGAGCAGCTCAAGGAAAAGGAACGCGAAGCCAAGCTAAAGGAGGAGAAGCTGAAGGAGAGAGAAAAAGAAGAAAAGCTTAAGGAGAAGGAAAAAGAAGAAAAGCTCAAGGAGAAAGAGAGATTAGAAAGAATTAAAGAGAAGGAAAGGGAAGAAAGGATCAAGGAGAAGGAGAAAGAGGAAAGAATTAAAGAAGAGAAATTAAAAGAAAAGGAAAAGGAGGAAAAGCAAAAGGAGAAGGAGAAGGAGAAAGAAAAGGCGGAAAAGCTTAAAGAATTGGAAAGAGAAAAGGTAGCGAAGCTTAAAGAGAAAGAACGCGAGGAAAAAGAGTCTGAGAAGAAGCTGAAGGAGAAAGAAAAGGAGAAGGACAAAAAGGGCAAGACCCTGGAGAAGGAGAAACCTGTAGAGAAGACGAAACCCCAGCAAGATTCACCCTCCGCCTCCGCCTCCAGCTATGTGGTTAAGGTCGTGGAGACGGCCGCCAATCCTCTCAAGAAACCAGTGGCTGTCCCCCTGCCCGCCAGTCCCTGGAAACGAGTCTCCGCCGAAGAGACACCAGCCAAACTGCCGGCAGTCCTGGACTATCCCAGTCTGGGCAACAAGAAGACCACCAAGAGTCCGGAGAAGAAGCGGGACGAGAAGCTATTGCCCGGACTGATCACTCCACCCAAGGAGGAGTCACGGTCGCCAGGGGCTGCGGCTGTCAAAGACAATTTCGAGGACTTTCTCAGTGGCCTGAAGCCACTAGAGGCACTGCCACCGCTGCCGGCTCTGGAGCCCCTGGAACCGCTGGGGGCGTCCAAGAAGGATGCGGACAAGGACACCCAGCTCAGTCTGATCAATTTCGAGAGTCCGCTGCTGGAGAATGCAGCGATTCCCAGAACCATTTCCCCGCCGCCCAGGGGCTTTACCGAGCAGACTCTGGTCCTGGCACTTTGCGGCTCCCTGCACTACGAAAACGAGCAGGAGAGGATCAAGGATCAGGACCTGGACCAGGAGCTGGAACTAGAGAAGGATGGGGAGACGGAACCGGAACCAGAGTATCTGCCCTTGAGTACGCTGGCCCTGCAGAAGTCCACATCCACTTCGAATAACTCCTCGGGCTCTGAGGAGATCGTCATCATGGAGGAGCCGGCCAAGAAACTGAGCAAGAAGCACAAGCGCCTGAAGCAGCTCCAGCTCCAGCAGCAGCAGCGGGAGAGGGAGCGCGAGCGGGAACGGGAGCAGGAGAGGGAGCCGGATGACGAGGAACTGCGTCCGCTGATCAGTGTCAGCATGTGCGATTCCCAGCTAGAGATGCCGGAAGGCGGGAGCAAGACCACGCCCGAGGACAATGAGCAGCTGGAGCCGCAGGAACCGGAACCGGAGCAATCCCTGCCCGAGGACCTGCTTCACTTCGGCAGCAGTGGCGTTGCCATGGGCGCCCTGGTGGCCACCGCAACCACCACCACTTCCACCACAACGGACAGCGAAGGACCCGTGCCGGCCACCACTTCCGACGACAACCTCGTGTACGGCTCCTCCTCGACGAGCAGCTCCACGCCGCACAAGCTCAAGACCAAGAAACTGGAGCACAAGATCAATCTTATTGCCGCCATCGAGGCGGCCACCTCCTCCTCGACGTCCTCGGCGGAGGAGAGCAGTGTGGAGACCACAGTTCATCCGGATCCCACGGGTCTGGGTCTTGGCACCGTATCCCAGGCCGCGGGTGGAGCCTCCGCCGGTGCTGGTAGCTCGGGCGCCAGTGGAACGGCCGGTTCGTCGCTTCCCGCCGCCCCCGGCAGCGTCACCGCTGTGGGCCTGGGGGTGGGCGTGGCCAGCCCGCCGAGTGCCACAAAGAAAAAGACGAAGCGCCGCAAGAGATAAGAATTAGCGATTTGTTTGCTGTGCGTCTTCAGCTTGGTGGTCCTGTGGCATCTGTATGCGAATCGGGAGGATCCCGGCCATCGGATAGCCACCGCCCAGGCGCTGCAGCAGTCGCCGCCGTTTTTGTCCCAGCCGTCACAGGGTCCGGTTAGGGAACCAGATTCTGGACAAGGACAAGGTTCAGTACCAGGACCAGGACCGGGACCAGGACCGGGAGTAGGACCAGAAGATCAGGTCCTAAAACCGGACAGAAGCAGCGGACAGTAGCCAAGTCGAGACAGCAGCAAACATCCCCCCTTCACACCCTCACTCTCTCTTAGGAGATCTACCCTCCCCTTGGAATCCTTGCCAGAAAATGGCTTAGATCCTTGCAAGGATCATAAACAGATTCTAGAAAAAAAAAAATGAGAAATATATCACTCTTCAGTAAACACAACAACAACAAAAAACAAAAACAACAAAAAAAAACAAAACAAAATACACAAAACACTGCAAAAAAAATTGTGATTTATCGAGAAAAAGAGAACAGAAAACAAAAAGTTAGTTTTTAATGTTAAAATTAATTTAAAAAAAAAAAATAAAATAAAAACCCAAAAACGACTGTAGAAATTCGTTAAAATACAAAAAAACGATAAAAAAAAATACACAAGGAAAAAAAATGGACAAAAAATATTTAATTACTAACCAATTTTTATGTGCAAAGTTATATTGTTAGCTATACATATTTCTATAAATTATATACATAATTATATAACACAAACAAACACTTATATTATAAAGATAATTATAATAATTACATAATGCTCTCAAATTGTATATAAAAACAAAACACACACAAAAAAAAAACAGAAAATAATTTACCAGAAAATGCTAGAAATTTTTTAAAACTGATATCCTGCCCCAGCTTACTCACACAAACATACACCAACACACCGACACACACACACTCATGCAGCTATATATCCTGTAGGAAGAAACAGGACCATTAATCGGTCAGTATATAGTAAACTGATCCGGAACTAATGGCTCCCAAAACTAAAATATACAATAAACACTAATTGTCCAATGTCACAATTGTTAGAAATTGTTTTCAGGCTTTCGTTAAGTTTTCTCTCCAAGGACTCTCGTATTTAATTGTGCCCCGCCCCCTTATCCCCAACCCTTTTCAAAGTCCTTCTTTTTTTTTTATTTGTTCATCAATATTTTACTGTATTTGTTAATTTATTTAATTTAATAGCAATGGTCTCTCGTAGGAATTTACTTTATAATTTCCTCTTTTTTGTTTTTTTATGTTTCGTTTTTTATTTTTGAGTTTGTTTTAATTTTTTTTTTTAATTAAGATTGTAAAAAAAAGAGAAGAAAATCCAATTTTTTTTTTTGTTTTCGTGTATATATATATAAAGTTATATCTAACTCGCAGTATTTATGATTTACGATTGAGAAATGGATATAGACGGTTTTGAAAATTGAAAAAATGAGGCAAGGAAATCGCTAAACACTAAAATTTAATTTAATTAAACGATGTATAATTAAATAAATGCAATTTTAGTTAAAAACAAAACAAAATCTGATTAAAAATCTTTCTTGTTTTTTGGAATGGGGGGTTTACTTTTCAGGTTTTATGAAATCGGGGATAATGTTGGTATTTGTTTTTGGTGGAGTTACTAAATAGACTAACTAAGTGTAACTATCTGACTTACTTACTTTGAGTAACTAACTAAGTTACCAAGTGGAGTTATGTCGTTTTAAGAAATATATTATCTTGCTGAGCTACATATGCTATATAAGCAAGATAATTACTTTATTATAACTACTATACTAAATAAAATATATGTATGTATGTCGCTTTTATTTATTTTCGCTTGGCGGTATGTTGTTTTAAAAAGGATATGCGTATATGTATCTACATCAGTGATCGGCACGGGCTTATCCCGAGGGGATTCTCTGCCACACCCACACAGTATAAATGTGTGAAACGTATCAATGTATTGGGGTGCCGACCACTGATCTACATATATTTTTATCTTAAGAAGATCCAGAAGAACATAACTTCTTTGTATTAAGCTACATATATCCTTTTTATATATCTCTTCTTATATATTCAAGGTTTGGCTAAAATTTTAAATGTTTGGATTTAAAAACTGTATAATATGTAGAGTTAGACAGTTTTTAAAGCCAAAAATTTAAAGTTTATTGGTATATGGTATGGTGGCAAGATATATGGTGGAAATGGTACAATTACCATAAGAAGAAATTGCCATAATTCTCTTTCTTTTATGAATATTTAAAGTTCATAAAACATAAATCTATAAAATCTTTATGATTATCACCATTAATTCCAGTATATAAAAAAAATACAGATATTTTTAGATAAGCAATCTGGTTATTTTTAATAAGCAAACTTTACTGATTTTACTGATTTAACTAAGTTGTCTTTTAAAATCTAGTAACAAGTCAGTGTTGCTGTGAAATCACTTTCGAAATCACAGTCCAAAGAATAATACCACTTCCGAAAAAAAAGCAAAAAATAAAGCAAGAAAAGTTTAAATAAAATAAAATTATAATAATAATAAAGTATAAAGTATAATAAACAAAGAAAGAACCAAGAACTAAGATTATCTCGTTGCTATTGGATATCATCGTATCTAATTATATAGACCATAATATAATATAATAAATAACAAAATGAATAACTTAATAAACATTATTATAAATAAAATAATAAATAATTCAATAAGTAATATTATTAGCAATATAATAAGTAAAAGCATAATATTATTAATAATAATCCCCGCAAATAACCTTATACCGTATCTCCTTTCCAGGTCACTATTTCGCCAAGGACCAGTTGGATGGATTTTCCCATAATAACAACAACAACATCAACAACAACATAATCCCAACCAAAGGCAACCTGAATCCCAAAGGAGGAGGCGGTGGCCATCAGCAGCAGCAGCAGAAGTCGGATGCCACTATCGAGTCTGGCGGAGGAGATTCCTATCCGATCCGGAACTCGTATGGGGAGCAGGGCATTGGCGGCGAACTGTCGACGGTGGTGAACATCGAGATCTTCGACGATCAGCTGAGCATGAGCAGCATCAGCACCAACAGTCGCCTGTCGCTGGAGGGACCGCCGGCCCAGTCGTCGCCACCACTGAGTCTGACCAACGGTGGCCTGATGGACACCAATCTGATGCATTTCAGCGAGAGTGCTGGAATGGGAGGAGGACGTGGCGGTGGAGCTGGAGGAGGGGGTGACGCCGTCGGCTTATATGATGACGAGGATGAGGATCAGGATGAGGAGCAGGAACAGGAGAGGGAGCGGGGCTCCCGGCGGAATTTGTGAGAGTTAATGCAGCGGGCCGGCCAGCTCCATTTGCGAAACATATGTTCGCATCTCTTCAAGCCGCGTCCTTCTTAAAAAAAAAAAAACCAGAAAAACAAAAAAAAAACTCGTCTCTTGGTGCTTTTGTTCTTCCCCGTATCCTTTACCGTTAGCAGCCCACAACCGTATCTGTAACCCCACACATTCGCAACTGTATTTGTATCTGTTTCTGTAACCGTATCTGTATCTGTATCTGCAACTGTGTTAGTTAATGGCTTTCTTTTTTTTTGGATTTTTGTTTATTTTGAAAAATTCTCTTTTTAAAAACAAATTACAATGAAAACTAAAATGTGAAATGCCAATGCAAAAAAAAAGGTAAACAAAAATTAAAAATAAAACGATATATATAAACATAAGAAATAGATCAGATCAGACCTCAGCTGAATGCCGTGATATTTAAAATAAAATTTAAACAAAAAAAAAAAAGATTGAGAATAGTGAGATGAGAAATGAAAGAGGCGAAAATACAATACAATATTAAATATATATAAATATGATTAGCAAATGGCAACAAGAGATCCACACAAGAGGAACCACAAAATATATGGATACTATATGTATGATGAAAAAGTACGATGAAATGTGTAATAGAATAGTGACTCCATTTACTTACCTTAGTCTAAGAAATGAACGTTTTTTTCCCCTCAACATTTATGTTCTTTAAGATATACATATATATATATACTTTATTTTATACTATACTTTTTCTATGTGAACCGAGAACCAAGTCCAGTTTGAAACATCCCACTATCGAGAGCATTGTGAGAGCACTGCCAGAGGATCCTGGATGGAAAGGACCTCTGCCTGTAACAGTTAACCAACCAATTCCAAATCTTGATTCTGCCTTCAGCATTCGCAGTTTCTTTTTTTTTTTTAGTTGATTCTTAAAAAGATTCATTCCAAAAATAAAAACAAAAAAACCAGAGAGAAATCGAAAACCGGAACAACATTATAAACATTGAAAATAAAAACATATCCATATCGCTCCAAAAAAATACAAACATACAAAAAATTCAAGCTTCATATTCAGATATATTTTTATGAATCTACACTATAGATACGAATATATATTATAATATATATATATATATTTACATATATATATATTTAAAGAAAGAAGCCTTCTGAGAAACGCAATCCCAAATAAAAAAAAAATAAGCAATAAGATTTTTTTTTGGCTCTTGTTGCCGCTTCCTGATTCCAAAAACAAACAAAAAACTGAGTAACTGAGATCACTGAGAATAAAAATTTATTAAAAAATAAAAACTAAATAGATACATAGATACAAAAAAATAAACAAAAAAAGATAAACCTTAAAAGCATACACACACACACGCATACTGCTGGCCAGGTTGAGGTTGTGGATAGAAGATTGCAAATTTTATATACAAAACAAAACAAACAAAAAAAATTAAATATATATTTAAAACAAAAAAACACTGAAAAAAAAGAATAGAAAACAGAAGAAACGTTGAAGGAGAAGAAACAAACATATTTTTTATACTTGAAAACTATCGTCTTCATGTTGTATTTCTATTTCAAATTGTTTTATGTTTTTTTTTTAAGCTCCCTAAGTTAGTACGCCGATATGACTTCACATATATATATATATATATATTCATATATACGCCCCTAATCATACGATATATGTCGCAAATTGGCAGACAATTTACTTAAAACCTATATATATATATCTATTCGATATATTATTCGACGTTCATTTCACGTCATCGCATGTCTTTCCTTACTCCCTACTCCCCCCTTAGTTAATCAAAAATTTAAACAAAAGGAGAAAAAACTGCTTAAAAAATATATATACAAAAAAAAGAACTTTTTTTAATTCATTTGTATAACCTAATGTGTCATAGAATTCATTTTGCGGAGTCGTTTTTCGAACTCGACACCACCATATACTTATAAATAAATGCATAAACTAAAAAACCTCACGATGAATGGTTTAATTTTGTTGGATCTGTTGGGATGGATATAATCCATCAATCCAGAAATCGTTTAAGATATTCCGCTTGAGAATCGGATCAGAATTAGGGAAGATATAGACATCGCAGTGGGCCCTATAGGGGAATGTCTCATTTTGAAGGGACCCCGAAATCACGAAAATTGGACAAAAAATGTAAAAAATATTTTGTCTCAGGATTTTGATGCAGAATGGTGGGAAATCGATCCAGAAATCGTTTAAGATATTCCGCTTGAGAATCGAATCAGAATTGGGGAAGATATAGACATCGCAGTGGGCCCTATAGGGGAAAGTCCCATTTTGAAGGAAAAATGGACAAAAAATGTAAAAAATATTTTGTCTCAGGATTCTGATGCAGAATGGTGGGAAATCGATCCAGAAATCGTTTAAAACACTCCGCTTGAGAATCGGATCAGAATTGGGGAAGATATAGACATCGCAGTGGGCCCTATAGGGGAAAGTCCCATTTTGAAGGGACCCCATCAGGAAAAATGGACAAAAAATGTAAAAAATATTTTGTCTCAGGATTCTGATGCAGAATGGTGGGAAATCGATCCAGATATCGTTTAAAACACTCCGCTTGAGAATCGAATCAGAATTAGGGAAGATATAGACATCGCAGTGGGCCCTATAGGGGAAAGTCCCATTTTGAAGGGACCCCATCAGGAAAAATGGACAAAAAATGTAAAAAATATTTTGTCTCAGGATTTTGATGCAGAATGGTGGGAAATCGATCCAGAAATCGTTTAAGATACTCCGCTTGAGAATCGAATCAGAATTGGGGAAGATATAGACATCGCAGTGGGCCCTATAGGGGAAAGTCCCATTTTGAAGGGACCCCATCAGGAAAAATGGACAAAAATGTAAAAAATATTTTGTCTCAGGATTTTGATGCAGAATGGTGGGAAATCGATCCCGAAATCGTTTAAAACACTCCGCTTGAGAATCGGATCAGAATTGAGGAAGATATAGACATCGCAGTGGGCCCTATAGGGGAAAGTCCCATTTTGAAGGGACCCCATCAGGAAAAATGGACAAAAAATGTAAAAAATATTTTGTCTCAGGATTTTGATGCACAATGGTGGGAAATCGATCCAGAAATCGTTTAAAACACTCCGCTTGAGAATCGAATCAGAATTGGGGAAGATATAGACATCGCAGTGGGCCCTATAGGGGAAAGTCCCATTTTGAAGGGACCCCATCAGGAAAAATGGACAAAAAATGTAAAAAATATTTTGTCTCAGGATTCTGATGCAGAATGGTGGGAAATCGATCCAGAAATCGTTTAAAACACTCCGCTTGAGAATCGGATCAGAATTGGGGAAAATATAGACATCGCAGTGGGCCCTATAGGAGAAAGTCCCATTTTGAAGGGACCCCATCAGGAAAAATGGACAAAAAATTTAAAAACTATTTTCTCTCAGGATTTTGATGCAGAACGGTGGGAAATCGATCCAGAAATCGTTTAAAACACTCCGCTCGAGAATCGGATCAGAATTGGGGAAGATATAGACATCGCAGTGGGCCCTATAGGGGAAAGTCCCATTTTGAAGGGACCCCATCAGGAAAAATGTACAAAAAATGTAAAAAATATTTTGTCTCAGGATTTTGATGCAGAATGGTGGGAAATCGATCCAGAAATCGATTAAAACATTCCGCTTGAGAATCGGATCATAATTGGGGAAGATATAGACATCGCAGTGGGCCCTATTGGGGAAAGTCCCATTTGGAAGGGACCCCATCAGGAAAAATGGACAAAAAATGTAAAAAATATTTTGTCTCAGGATTTTGATGCAGAACGGTGGGAAATCGATCTAGAAATCGTTTAAGATATTCCGCTTGAGAATCGGATAAGAATTGGGGAAGATATAGACATCGCAGTGGGCCCTATAGGGGAAAGTCCCATTGTGAAGGGACCCCATCACAAAAAATGGACAAAAAATTTAAAAAATATTTTGTCCCAGGATTTTGATGCAGAATGGTGGGAAATCGACCCAGAAATCGTTTAAAACACTCCGCTTGAGAATCGGATCAGAATTGGGGAAGATATAGACATCCGAGTGGGCCCTATAGGGGAAAGTCCCATTTTGAAGGTATAGCCCTCCTAATAATACCACTCTTATAATTTGTTTTTGTTTAAAACTTATTTATTTATTTATTTTTAAAAAAAATTTTAATATTATTCAAGAGAGTTTGCACAATAGTCTGTGGGTCCTGGGATGATCCTTGATGTATATCTGAGGGTTTGGATATGTCTAGCCCCTGCGGCGGTTGCTCCTCCTCTTCGACTCCTTCTTCTTGGACTTGCTCTTCTTGCTCTTGTTCTTCTTGTCCTTGCTCTTGTCCTTCTTCGTCTTGGTCTTGGTGACCTTCTTGCCCCTCTTTATAACGTTCTTGTGGCGGTAAGTGTGCTTCTTCTTGCCAGACTTGGAGGTGGAGGCCGCTGTCGTGGTGGTGGTAGTGGTGGTGGTGGTGGTGGCCTCGGTGGTGGCGGTCGTGGAAGAGTTTGAAGAGGTGGATGTGGAGCTGGTGCTAGGGGTGGAGCTAGAGGTCGGGGTGGCGGTTGACGGAGTGCTCGCCGGGTCGGATGTTGAAGCCGGGGGGGTGGTAGAGGTGGTGGCGCTTAACGCCGGATCCACTATGAACGCCAGGCAGGCGAGGATCAAAACGCAAATGAATCGCATTTTTAAGCTAGAGAGGATCAGATCAGATCGGATCAGATTGAATTGGATGAGATTATCCAAGAACTGTGCTTCTTTTGGGGTTCTGTTGGTGGCTTTTATACTTCCCGAGATCCACATCTATCCACAGCATCTACAAGCTATTTAATCTGGACAAACATAGCCTTCTGTTCTATAACTTTCTTGTTTCAATAAGATGTGTTTGCACAAAACACGCTCGAAATATCCATTCTATTTGCTCTTCAGGAAAGAGAAATTTGGCACTATTTGCCAAAACCCCAATACCCCAAGAGGGTTTCTAATAAGACTACCAGTCTCTAATAATAGTAGGCCATACTAAGTACTACCTACTACCAAAAATTTTATCAGTTTCTTTATTTAATTATTTTTAGTGATGTGACGTGGTTTGTTTAGGTTCTGTTATAGAGTTATATTTAAAATAGTAATCATTAGCAGAGGGTTTTTTGTTAAAAAAATCGTTTTATAATTTAAACATCAGAGTTCGATTAATATTTAAGAAAAAACCAATTTTACATGGTATCTATGTCTATATATTATGGTTCTTAAAAGAAATGTAACTTCTTATCTTATAAAAAATATACCCCTATATAATCCTATAATCATCCCTAATCCCAATCCCTAATCCTAGGGTTATAATCCATATAACCCTATAATCAAAAATATCTTTATTTTGAAAGAAATGCGTTTTAAGTTCATAAATCTAAAATCTATAAAAAAATGCTCCATTTATCCTTGTTATTATATTTTTTCAAAAAACCTTTCTGATATTCATTAACTGGGCCATTATCTGTTTAGACATAAACTCTATAGACCTAACTCTAACTCTAACTCTATATGTGTTTGGATTCTATAGACCTAATTTTTGGAGCTTCTTATTTACTTATTTCTACATAGTCTTCTGTTTTGTGAAATCCTCTGGGATATTTTATAAAATAGATCTAATAATGGAATATTACAATACATTATTTATGCCTTTCAAATAGATATAGAATATCATATAGATATTGCAATTTATCATAGCTTTTTTACTATTTCCTTGGTAGAAAGGATTTTCTTCACAAATCTCTTGGTCATCAGATGTCCCAACGCCTTTTTTTTTTGGTTAGACACGAAAATCATTTTTATAAAATTCCTTTATAAAAGGAATATATATATATTCCTGATTCCTTTTGATTCCTTTAGGGATTATTGTGTAGATACTATAATAACTTAAAAATAAAGAAGGTATGGGCCTTTTTTTGAATTTTCTTGAAGCTCTTCTGAGCTTTATTTTATTTTGAACTCAAAACAATTATATGTCGTTCCTGTTATATAGTATACTTACATATATATACTAGTTCCTTACTAAATGGATTTTCTAAAAAGTTGCAGACTTATATATATGTACAGACAGATTCTATATCATGATTTAATAACTACAAAGATAGTATAGAACTGGTCCCTTTTAAATAAATGTGTTAATAAGACCCATAAAGATACATACATACAGGTATAAGATTCCTATAATTTATGTTAAACCTTTCCTAACATTATCTTAAAGATCATTATGACTACATTCTGTACTTTGAACTATATAATTTATATAATATTATTCGTATGATACTTAAAAGCCAAGCTCAGACGATCTGTGTGGATTTGATTTGACTTTGTTTTATTATATCATTTGTGGCGAGGTCTAATAAATTGGTTCCGTTTCGATCCCGAGACTGGTCTGGTCCCCAAACAAGGTCAATGTCAACGGTGAGTGTAGATGGACAAGGGCACTGAAAGAAATTGTTCAAAAAATCTAAAAAAAATATAAAAAATTATGAAAAATGAAAGAAACTTATGTTAGAAAAGAAAATTACTTTTGGAAGAAGATTATGAAAGAAACTCATCATCTTTTAATTTCTTTTAGTGTTTTCTTTGGTATTAGATCATGTTGTGTGCCATCCATCATTGTACCATTTTTGATGATTGATGGTTGGGACTACTGCACTTAATCCCCCAGAGAGAGAGTTATGATTTACAGATCAGTTGATTGATCATTCAACCATTTAAAGTCGTCTAAAAATAAAACATGAGATAATTAATATTATGTGAGAAAAGGATTAGATTTCGCAAGTGTTTCTGTTTTTTTAGATCTCCTCTTCTGCTTTCCCCGAAACCAAGGCCGTCAAATGGCAAAAAAAAAAATAAATAAATATTTATTTGCAAAAAACAACAGCAACATTAACAGCATCGCACGCAGCATTCGCCACAATGGCCCCCCTTTGTTGAATTAAGTGTTCCCATTGTTCTCATTGTTGGAGAGGCTAAGAGCACCGTCCAGGGTTGCCAGGCAGGCGGGCATGGGCTTTGAGATCTGTGGGATCCATGACATTTGATTTGTTGTCCGTAAGCCACCTATGTGTGTGCTTACTTAAGAGTATGTGCTTACTTATGTAGTACTTTTATTATTAAAAAATTCCTTTAAAACTTAAACTATTTCTCTTTAAGGCTTCAAAAATACTTATTGCTCTTAAAAATACTTATTCTGTTATGTTTTTAATATTATAAAATAAATATAAAGTCCAGAAAAACCTAAACTTCTATGAAATAAATGGTAATTAGACGTACAAGTCCTTTTTATGGCGACCGTGACAAAAGAAATAAACTACATATAAAACTATGTTATCATATACTCAATAAAATGTAAAATGGAAACTTATATAAGTATTTTAACCCAACTGCAATACCATCTTTCGTTTTTAAAATTAAAAGTTTGAAGAAAAACCCAAAACAAGTAGTCCTTGAGTTGTAATATTTGAAATCTCCAATAATAGTAGGCTGGAGAGGTATAGCCTTTAAATTAGATCTCGTAGACTGTTATTCATTTCTAAGTTTTCAATCGGTGAACATTAATTCACCAGCTCCCGAAAAATCAAAATTATTTTCTAAAAAATATATTATTGCGATTGTATTTTGTGAAACGTTGTAGTCTTTCTCACATTCTCACATGAATCTCATTGATTTGATTTTCTACGATGTCCTGCCAGCTTGGACGCTATCCGGGTTGTCAGCATCGGCTATTGGAGGAACTGGGTCGGGCTGGTGGGGACTCGGAGCTGCTCGACTTGGACGCTCTAATCGAATTGCCCTACCTGAGTGCCTGTTTTAATGGTGAGTACTACAGAGAAATGAAGTAAATCCCATCCATCCTCCAATCCCGGCTTTTTGTAGAGAGTCTCCGGATGTATCCGGCCTCTGGGTGGGCATCCAAGACCTGTACCCGGGACTACGAGTTGCTGGTGAAGCTCCGTCCCGGCGACAATGTGATGATTCCTGATATCTACCCGGAGCCGGGCGAGTTCCGACCGAAGCGGTTCCTCGATGGCGGACTCAAGCGGTCCAAGCAGCAGGGCGTATTCCTGGGCCTCGGGAATGGCCAAGAAGATTTCCCCAAATTTGGGGGTCTCCGTAGGCCGGCCGCTTCCATAAATAGGCCCAAACTTAATGGCCTTAAATAAGGCCTTTATAAGATCCTCATATAGGACCTTAGAACACTCCGATCATATTCCATATGCACTACTTTTTTTTTTGTTTTGTGATTTAACGATAACTTGATGATAATGATGGACCACTAATAAAAATTTAAGAGTTAACTCTTCTTTAGACTCTTTGGGGCTCTATAGAGTGGATGGCATTCTGTTGGGGAATTATGTTACCGATGGGTGTCCAAATAGACCCTGGAAATGCCCATAAACAAATAGTAATTAGACATACAAACCTTTTTTATGGCGACCGTGACAAGGACAACAAACTCAAAGAGCCTCTGTTGTATGTACAGTATATAGGTGTCTAAAAGGTATGAATTTTTGCTAAAGAATCTAAAGAATTTCCCATAATATTGTTATTAAGTCAATATATCAATCATTATAGCACGTAAGCCTAATGAGATCTGAGTGCCTGAGTCCAAAGTAACTACATTTTCTCAGAAACTAGCAATTTATTTGCTTAGCAGTTGAACTTGTTTGGCAGTTAATTCGATAATTGAGCTTCCATGAAGCCGCAGACATGCAAACTATTACATCTTATTTGATATAGTAGTAGAGTAGTAGCCCATCATATGGGTTCGGGAAACACGCTACCCCAAAACGATTCGTGCCGCCCACCGCCCACTCACCGCCCCGATTTAGAATCACCCTCTGGGTTTCAGTATCGTGTGCGTTGTCGGCATGCTCGGATCGCTGTTACTGGGACTTGCGACGCTACTGGGGCTGATCTATGGCTTCCTGGTATCCAACTTTGGCCACTGGCGGCGGCGAGGAGTGCTGGAACCCAAGGTCTTTCCACTTCTCGGATCCTTTCCCAATGTAATATGGCCGCGTCAGCACTTTACCATCGATATGCAGGATATTTATATGTAAAAGTATGATTCCCGGTACTAATGGACTAATAATAATCCTTATTTTGATGTACAGGCGATATCGTGAGACAAACAGCTATGTGGGATGCTTCCTGCTGAGAGCTCCCAAGCTACTGATCCTGGAACCGCGTCTCGTTACCGAGATCTTCGTGAGTGCCTTTCGGCATTTCGAGGATAATGATGCCTCGCGCATGGTGGACCCAGCCAAGGACCGGCTCATCGCCCGCAATCCTTTTGTCCTCCAGGGCGACGATTGGCGTCGGGAACGAGCCATATTCTCCACCTTGATGACCAACGGTCGGATCCGAACTCTGCACTCCATCATGGAGCGTGTCTGCCGGGATCTTTGCGACTTTCTCACCAAGGATACGACAGGCGGAGGACCTTATGATGGAACTGATGTAACTAACACTCTGGAGAAGTGCTTTCCGGTTTTAAAATTTTTCTCAAATCTCTTCCAGCTTGGTCTCCGTTTCACGGGAGAAGTCCTATTCGACTGTGTCCTGGGCATACAGGCTCGAAGCTTCAGCAAGGACCCCCTCCCAGTGGTACAACAGAACCAGCAGATGTCCAGCGAAAATATAGGCCTGACCATCGCCGGAGCAGTTTCTGGTCTTTTCCCCAACCTGCCCAGACGCTTCCGTCCGAAGGTCTTTCCACGCTCATACGACCGCTTCATGGGCGGGGTCATAAGCGAAGCCCTTCGCCTCCGTCGCTCCAATCACCAGGAGAGGAACGACTTCATCAACCACCTCCTGGAGCTACAGAGGGAGCACAACCTCACCGAGGAGGATCTGATCTCTCATGCCATGACCTTTATGTTTGATGGTCTGGACACCACCTCTACTAGTATTGCTCAGTGCTTGCTTTTGGTGAGTTCTTAGATAGAAATAGGTCTACTTATGGACTTATAGAGGTGCTCCAATAGGATCTTAAGAGATCTGAGAGTCTAGAAGATATAAAAATATCATCAGCTGGTATAAATTCCCTTTTTGGTGCTTTGGGACCAGTGACTCCACTATGTTCCTTACCAGGGTAGGGCATGTTGACCTAAGGTGTTCTTGCCCTTTAATCCTCCTCATGACGACCTTGTAGACTGTTCCCCATGGGTCCACCTTTTTTGTGGCAACTCGTCTTAAATTAAATAGTCGAGAGTATGCTTTATATTCTAAATATTAAGATTTAGTTTCTTTTAAAACTATAATTTTATTGAAATTGCCTGAGAGTTTGTATAACGTACCGGGTATCATATATACCCTTCTCCCTATACAAGTAGTCCTTGAGTTCTAATTTTTGAAATCTCCAATAGTAGTAGGCTGGAGAGGTATAGCCCTCAAATTAGATCTCGTAGACTGTTATTCATTTCTAAGTTTTCAATCGGTGAACACCAACTCACCAGCTCCCGAAAAATCAAAATTATTTTCTAAAATATATATTATTGCGATTGTGTTTTGTGAAACGTTGTAGTCTTTCTCACATTCTCACATGAATCTCATTGATTTGATTTTCTACGATGTCCTGCCAGCTTGGACGCTATCCGGGTTGTCAGCGTCGGCTATTGGAGGAACTGGATCGGGCTGGTGGGGACTCGGAGCTGCTCGACTTGGACGCTCTAATCGAATTGCCCTACCTGAGTGCCTGTTTTAATGGTGAGTGCTACAAAGGGACGAAGTAAACCCCATCCATCCTCCAATCCCGTCTTATAGAGAGCCTCCGGATGTATCCGGCCTCTGGGTGGGCATCCAAGACCTGTACCCGGGACTACGAGTTGCTGGGCAGCCACAAGGCGGAGTCGGTGAAGCTCCGTCCCGGCGACAATGTGATGATTCCGGTGTACGGCCTACACCATGATCCTGATTTCTATCCGGAGCCAGGCGAGTTCCGACCGGAGCGGTTCCTCGATGGCGGACTCAAGCGATTCAAGCAGCAGGGCGTATTTTTGGGCTTCGGCAACGGGCCGAGGCAGTGCGTCGGGATGCGTCTGGGCCTGGCCATGGCCAAGGCCGCACTGGCGGTCATCGTCCAGCGGTTCCAGGTGAAGACCAATGCCCGTACACTGGCGGGCAACCAACTGGATCCCAATATCTTTGTCGGCGTCCACAAAGGCGGCATCTGGCTGGACTTTGAACCGCGTTCGGCCAAGATTTCCTAAAATTTGGCGATCTTCGTAGACCCCTTCCATAAATAGGCCCCCTACCTCATGGCCTTTTTAAGATCCTCATATAGGACCTTAGCTAGAACACTCCGATCATATTCCATATGCACTACTTTTTTTTTTGTTTTGTGATTTAACGATAACATGTTGGTAACGATGGATCTATAATAAAAATTTAAGAGTTAACTTGGAGTTGTTTGGACTCTTTGGGGCTCAATAGAGTGGATGACATTCTGTTGGGGAATTGTGTCATCGACGGGTGTCCAAATAGAGGCCATTCATCAATAGGCGCTCGCGGAGGCATTGAATGCATTTACATTTCATACACTCGGAAAAATAACTTGCCAAAAAAATGTGTGCTATGATTTAATAGTAGTATAGTACTAATATAATAGTAATAGTATAATAGTATAATAGTATATATACTATATAGTATTTTAATTTACACATCTAGTTCTTGTTCTCTTCTAGTTCTAGAACTAAATGTTTTTTTTTTGCCTTTCATACTAGTAACTAATATTTGACACTTCCATTTAGTCTAAAAATTTTGGTAGGTATTTATTATAACTTTAATAACTCTGGTAAGAGCTTTTACCAAAATTGTACTTATCTTTTTTTAACCAGAAGCTAAAACGTTTGATTCTCCATATAATATATGTATCTTCAAAGCTTAAACACCATTTAGTCTGAAACTTTTGGTAGGTATATATTATAGACCTTGTCACTCTAGTAAGGCCTTTCACTAGAATTGAGCTTCTTTTTCTCTTTTTAGCGTCTATATATCATAAAATCTTTAAAGTTCAAGAACCATTTTCCGAAGCAAAACTTATATCTCTAAAGTTTAAACACCATTTAGTCGGAAACTTTTGGTATGTATTATAACTCTGGTAAGGCCTTTCAGTAAAATCGTACCCCTCTTAATCATTCCAGCGTCTATATATCATATAGTTTAGGCACCAATTTCCAAAGCAAGGCTTATATCTCCAAAGTTTAAACACCATTTAGTCTGAAACTTTTTGTGGCAGTGTAGTCCAACCTTTGTAACTCTGCTAAGACCTTTCACTGAAATCGTACGCCTCTTTTTCCCGAGCGGAAGCTGAAAAGAAATCGAAAACCCATCGCCGAGACCCAAAAACTGAATGGAATCCGGAATCCGAATGAAACCAAATTGCGAAGGTCACGCTCATTGGGGGATTGGACACGCCTTCGGGCCAGTTAATCATGGGACAGAGAGACATCACGAATAAATACTGAATTATCTATTTTCACATCGGATCATGGGTCTATACATATGTATATCAAAGAGTATATTGCAAAACCTTTTAGGAGACTCATCAAAGGGCTTCATTTTCATTTAAAAAGCTTTAAATTATGGAAGTCTATGGGCGGGAAAGAGGTGTTGCATGTTTATATCTTTGATTTCGAATTATAGGTTTACTAAATATGTGGGTTTATGTTTTATAATTTTTATAAGAGGGGTTTCGAGAAGGGCAATTAAAGATTAAGAAAAGAAATATTAGAAAGGAAAAGCTATTGGTAAAAAAAACATATAACAAGATAATAAAAATATAATAAAATTATCCACAAATTATCTAGAGTCTATAGGTCTATAAAATCTGAAAAAAATATCTGTTGAAAATTCCCTATTATACCACTTAAAAATTGCATTCAAAAACCTTGACTCATTTCGGTTTCTAAAGAATAAATAAATATTGTGACAAGCTCTTTGTTTCAACTTCCCATTACGAATTCAAGGTCTCCCCAATTACCAATTCTCCAAGTCCCCCTATCCCTTTCTTCTCTCCAATCCGCCCATTAAAACCACAACATTATTTACATATATTTTACGTAATTATATATTTATTTATTAGGTAAGAAATTCGAGTCGCTCGTTAATATTGCATGCAAATGATTTGATTTCGATTTTCTGTTGATTGCAGGTCCGGATTGGTTTTGGCTGGAAAATGTGTGTGTATGTGGAGAGTCCGGGAATGAATCAGCGACAAATCCGTAATTCCGTAATTCCGTAATCCGGTGATCCGGTGATCCGTAATTCCAATGGAAATGCATGCGAAATAAAGTTACTTTTGTGGAAGAAATCGTTTCAAATCGGAGGAGAAAAAAAAATAGTTAGCGCTTGATGATGTGTGATTTTTACAACTAATCAGTGCTGGGAGTTGACCTCTGACCCGATCCCCTAGTGCAGGCTGGCGACGGGATGCAGGCGCAGGGGCTTTGAGGCCTGCCGGACGATACGGGTCCTTGGCCGGGCGGGAGGCAGGTAGCCGTTCTGCTGCTGGACCTGCTGCTGGATCTGCCTCACAACTGGAGCCACTGGAGCGGCTGGAGCTCCAAAGTCATCAAAGATCTTCACCGTCTGGACGTGCGTCTCCGCCCCACTGTGGGCGTTCTGGGTGACGACCTTGACCACGTGATGCCTGCCCTGGGGCTGCTCGTTGGTGGCGCCCAAAATCTTGATGGTCTTGACGCCGGCCTGGTCGAGCGTCTCCAGGACCTTGAAGGTCCTCGTCGCGTGTGGCTTAACGATCTGGACGGTGCGCACCCGGGAGCTACCACGCAGGGCGACGGGGGCTGGCAGAGGGGCGGTGGCCGCCATCGCCACATTGACCGCCACCTGGACGTCCTTGGGCATGAACTTCTGGAGCGACTGCTGCGCCTTCAGGCTGAGGGTCTGCGGAGCTGGCTGGGGGGCAGGAATGGAGACGGGCACGGGCTGTAGCTTCTGGCTCTGCACCACACGGTGGTAGTGGTGGTGCAGGTGCTGCTGAGCCTGCTGGACTTGCTGGACTTGCTGGACCTGCTGGCGGGCATAGGCCGGAGCATAGAATCGCGGACGCTTGGACTGCTCCCGGTACATGGGAGCCACCTCAATCACCTGTTGCTGCTGCTGGTGCTTCTGCTGCTGGTGCTGGACATGGTGGATGTGATGGTGCTGCTGGCGCACTGGCTGGGCGTAGCGGGCGAAGGGCTGGACGGTGTTCATGTAGCTCCTCAGGGAGTGGATGTGAGTCACCTGGGTGGGGGCTGGAGCAGGCAGGGCGGCAGGAGCACTGGCCACGGGTGGCAGGTAGCCGGAAGCCCTGTATTGCTGGTGCTGGTGCTGGTAGGATGTTGCATGGACCACAGGGGCAGGAGCAGGAGCTGGCACTGGAGCGGGAGCTGGAGCTGGAATGGGAAGAGGTGCCGGAGCGGGCAGGGAAATGGGAGCTAGAGCTGGAGCTGGCACTGGAGCCGGAGCTGGAATGGAGACTGGGATAGGAGCGGGTGCAGGAACTGGCGCAGGAGCTGGCACGGAAACCCGAACTGGGGCAGGAGCTGGTGCTGGAGCTGCAACCGTGGGCGGCAAGTAGCCAGGAGCCGTGTAGTGTTGATGCTGCACCTGTTGCTGATGGTGGACATGTTGCACCTGTTGCTGGACCTGGACTTGTTGCACCTGTTGTTGGACCTGGACTTGTTGCTGCAGCTGCTGCTTGGGACGTCCGTAGACAATATCCTCAGACTGCTGAGGTCTGGAGACCTGTACCTGCGACTGGACCACAACCTGTTGCTGTTGCTGCTGCTGTTGCAACTGCCTCTGCTGTTGCTCCTTGAGCAACTTGGTCTGAGTCTGGAGGCTGTGGAGCTCGGCAATGGCTGCCTCGGAGTTCTCGGGCTTGACGAAATCATAGCCATCGGGAAGAGCTCCAGGATGAGCCACTGTGGCCTGTGTGGGTGCCACAATCACCTGCTGTACCTGCTGCACCTGTTGCTGCTGTATCTGTTGCACTTGTGGCAGTGACTGAGGCTGGGACGGAGTCCTGGGCTCATCGTAGCCAGGTGGGAGGTAGCCAGGAGCACGGTACTCGCCAGCAACACTCTGGACGGTGGTCTGGACGGAAGCCACTTGCTGGACAGGAGCAATCTGCTGCACAGGAGCAACTTGCTGGACTGGAGCTGGGGCAACGCTGGCTGAGCTTCCAAAGGCCTGACCCAGAGCCTCTGGGAGGGGATCGGGATTGGAGAAGTCATAACCAGGTGGCAGATACCCAGGAGCCTGATAGCTCTGGCCAGAAGTCTGAGCGATCTGTTGCTGTTGCACTTGCTGTACCTGCTGCACTTGTTGCACCTGTTGCTGGTGCTGCTGCACCTGCACTTGCTGCACTTGGGCTTGCTGTTGCTGCTGCTGAGGTGGCAGATAGCCGGGTGCTTGGTACTCGGCCTGGCTGGAGGATCCAGTGGTCACCACCTGGCCGGAGGTGCCAGAGTTGCCAGTTGGCGGCAGATAAGTTGGGGCCTGGAAGACCTTCTGTTGCTGGACGGGTGTGGCAGTGGGCGGCAGGTAGTCCGGAGCCTGGTAAGTGGAGACTGTCTGGGGCACAGACTGAGTGACTTCCTGGGTGGTGGTGGGTGGCAGATATCCGGGTGCCTGATAGCTTTGAGAGGCATATTGCTGCTGCTGTTGCACATGAACTTGCTGCACCTGCTGCTGGACTACTGGGGCAGCTGCAGTGGGTGGCAAGTAGGCCTGACCACTGTAGCCCACCGGAGCAGCCGGCTTGGAGCGCTGAAAGTCGTGCTGGTAGTTCGAGGGGAAGGGCACCGGAATGGCAGCCTGGACAGGAGCCGGGGCCGGAACTGGAGCAGAAACTGGAGCCGGAGAAGCCACAGGAGCTGGTGCGTCGGCAAAGCCCAAGAAGGACACATCCAGGCCATCATCATGACCCTGGTGGGAGGTGGGCGGCAAGTAGGCCTGACCGGGACCCGAAACGGGATTGTGAACCTCGAAGATCTGATAGCCGGAGTTGCCATAATTGCTCTCCTGGAAGCCACCCGTCTTGTAGTATTGCTCCTTCTGAATCAGAGATTGTTGTTGCTGCTGTTGTTGTTGTTGTTGTCGGAGCTTGAGCGATATATCCGCTTGGGTTAATCCACACATCCCGCAGATGGCGATCGCAATGAAGGCGCCAAAGAACTTGAACCGGAAACGAACGAGAAAACATTTTTTTTGTTGTTTGAATTTTGCTTTTTTTTTTTTTTGGTATAAACTTTTGAGGTTTTTTTTTTATGCACAGAAAAAAAAATTAAGATAATTATATCACTGAGTTATAGATATCCTTAGTAATCCTTAGGGGTAATCATCCTGTGTGGGCACCACTTACATTCATCTTTAAGTCGGTGGTGCTTGAGCTTCGATCTCCAACCGTACAATGATGCCCCCAATGACCCGATACCTGCGTTTTATATGTTTTTTTTTTTTCGCCTCTTCTCCCAAAACTAGTCTGGAGCATCTTCAGTCTTCGATCTCCCATCATCATCATTCGCTAATTTACCAAAAGATGGGCCTTTCGTTAACCCATCCACGAGTCGCTCGGCAAACACTACGCAACATTCGCCCGAAAATGCAGATTTGGCTTATTGAGTTATCGCCGCTCTACTACACCCAAAAAAAATCCAAAAAAAAACCCCAAAGTCCAACAAAAACCAACACATGGCCTGGTATTTGATAAAATGCAAACAAACAGAAAACCGTTTAAATAAGTTGGCTAGTTGTATTGGCCAATATTGCAGATACAAGGCAGCCAACACATGTATTTAGGAAGTAACTTGGAAGCAACTTTGAGGCTGTTGGTGGGTTAATTTATAAAACTTAAAAAAATGTTTAAAATATTTCAAAGTTAAGGTAATCTTAGACATAAATATTAAACATAAAATCGTAATCATAAAATTAATTTAAGACAATTTTCAAGGCAGTTTTAGTAAAACATTCAAAATGAGAAAACAACATTAGCATGTCCATTAAAAGGTTTTTTATTCTAATATTTATAATAATATTTAAAAATATATGTATATTTATACAAAAAACTATAAAATCTTGGGCACATTTTCCTTATTAATATTTTATAAATTTTTTGCATTAATATTCTTTTTACAACTATTTGAAAATCTTTACAAGAATTTCTCAAAAAAGCCTTTGAAACTGATTTTTGAAAACAACTCTTTTTAAAAAAGTCTTATTATTTTATTAAAAATATCAAAATATACATAATTAAATATACAAATATTTTATTAAAATATACAATTTTTTTCCAAGTGCCTTTTCAATCCCGTGCCTTCAGACCGGATGTAATTAATACGCCCCGAATCGCTACATCAGTCAACCTCCGGTCTGTTCTCCGGCGTATTGCATAATCCCGGACAGCTGGGTCTGCTGAGGTCTGGACCGGGATTGCAGCTCGTTATTGGACACCTTGGATTTCCGGTTATTATGATTGTTTTGCATATGCAGTAGTTTCGCAAAGTGTTTGCTAAATATCGGGCTGTGGCTCTAACATTTGCCAAAAATAAATAAATAAAAAATAGAAACAAAAAAAGATGAAAAAAAGAGGAAATATTACATGTGTCATTAGCAAATGCGTGTCGGATCGGATCGGATCGGATGGTATCCGATGGGGCCATGAATTAAACATTAAACATTGATAAGCATGTCGTCCCACCTCCGGATGGTATCTTGAGGTCGGCTTTTGGGTCAAAATCTTCACCTCAGCTTGCCACCAAAAATGCCACCTGCTTACCTTATTGCGTAACTTTTAGAGTTAATTGGGGATTAGTTTAAAAATTAATTAAATTAAGTAAAAGAATAAATATTTAGGGTTTTTATGTATTATATGATATGTTTTAGATTTTAAGATATTTCTGAATCAAATACCATATATGGTCCATGATCTATGATTATTTCCTGAACTTTAAAGACTTTAAAAGACCTAAAACTGTAGGGGTTTTAAAAGGAACTCCTAAAACTTTGTATCTACGTTTCAAATCCTATATTTATATATTATTTGATATGATATACATATACCTTATACCTTATAGCATATACCTTTAAAGACCTAGAGCTTTAGGAACTTTTGTTTTAGTTTTTAGAAAATAACTCCCTTTATAATATATGTATCTATGTTTTAAGTCATGGAGAGTTTCAATGATAGTTGAATAGTTTTTGTAGATTTTTATCTCAAGGCCTAATCTTTCTGAAATATGTACGCTATATACCTTATCCTAATCAATCCTTTTAAACCTCCTTTTACCTCTTAGAAGCCCATTTTTAATACAAAGGAAATCTTTTATTAAGATCTATTCAAGTTCAAAGACCTATATTAAGATCTAATCTTTACTTAAAGTTTTTACAATATTGTTTATAATACCTTTACTTATTTTTACTAAATATTACTATGAAAAAAAATACCTAAAAAGTATTTGCAATCTTAGGCCATATATTATGCCATAAAGCAGTTTTGTTATTTCGATTTGTGTTTTTGATTGAAAGTGAAATTGAATGGCAAGCACCTGAACACAAAGGGCTGTCTGGCAGGTAACCCTACGCATTAAAGGTTAACCTTTTCGACAGTTTTTATGGCCAAAATACAGGTCTATTCAAAAACTGAAAACTGAAAACCGAAAATCAAACAAATCCCATCGAACTGGTCGCTCTGGAGTTGTATAATCATTATCAGCGACATCTTTCATTTCGGTTTTCCGCAGAAAGCCATGTAATTTTCCCATGGCATTCGCTCCGGGGGGTTACCAACTCCCCTTACCTCTAAGTCTAATAGATCCATAAAACCCCCCCACCAAAAACCCCCCACTTTCTATTTGTAGGCCCTCGATATCTTTGGAAACCTTGACCCATCTTTGGGCCAAATATTTTATGCATATTTGGTCGACAAATTCCAAAGCTACTAATGGCCAAAACGGGAACAAAAGAGACAGCCTGATGGCATACGAAAGAGACAGTGAGTTTAACAAAGGCGGGACATGCAAATAATTGAATAACATTGAATTGAATCGAATCGAATCGAATAAAGGCGAGCCCTAAATCCAAGCAAGATGCCCAGAAATTGATTAAATAAAACAATGTTTTTAATGGGCCTATTTATGGATTGGGTAAGTCTTTGTTTTTCAAGACCCATTCCATCAATGGAGGTAGCTTTATTTATGGGGTTTCTCATAGATATTATTTATTTTTACCTATTGTTGGCTAAATGATTAAGATATATGCATATTTTTGACATGTTATAAGTAAAATTGTAAAGAAATATGATTGTTTTCCCTTAAAAAATATATAGAAAAGTTTTAATAGAATAGAAAAATAAAAGAATAATAGAATATCATCATAGAAAATATTTGAAATTGTTATAAATTTTTAAAGAAAATCTTTCCAAAGAATGAAGACTATTCTTCAATATTTTTATTAGAATTTTATAAAAAGTGTTAGAAGGACTTCAGAAAAAACTTTTAAAATTCAAGTTTAATTTTAAAAAGTAACTTTTAAGAAGAAAAGAAAATATAAGAATACAGAGTAGAGTAAGAGTACCTTCTTTAAGGAAGAAGTACCAGGTATTATATACCATATTAGAGCTCCTAATATTCAAAGAAAGTTATAATAATTTCGGATGCAAAAAAAACATAAATAAAAAAACTAAACAAATTAAATTCCCATTTAAAAAACACACACCAATCGAAAAGAAATTTATTTTTTATTTAGCATAAATACGCTAAACAGAAAGCCAAGCTAGTTGTGGCTTATGAGGCGATATTTAAGCCAAGTCGAGGTATATTAGTGACTAGACTGTGTTGTAATAATTATTGCCAAACTGCCCTGGGGGGGGAAGAGTGATGGGCTTGGAAATGGACACCACACCCCATACCCCAAAAACCATATATCTCATCCTACCTAGTAGTATTTCCTAGGCCCTCTCGTGGCGATTCTTGGGGTCTCATAAATTTTCGATCAATTTGAATTAACATCGGCGATACATAATTATTTATTTATGAGTGTGTGCCCCTGCATTCGGTTGGCATAACTAACAAAATTCGATATGCATATTGCCTGGCTTGTTAATTATTTAATTTCTCGCTACTGCCATCTCTATCCAATTTATATATGGCTTTCTCTTTCACTCGTGCATTCTACTCGTGAAAATAAATATATTCGCATTAACAAACATCGCCACCCATTAGTGGGCCATCCTCAGCTAGATTTACATACCTTTTTTTTATGTCTTGTATTTTTTTTGTTGTTGTTAAGATATTTATCAATATTTGTGGCAAGTTCCACCATGGGGTGACCCCTTGCAGCGACAAAAAAAAAAGACAAGAAAACAAAAGCCAAGCAGTCGAAATATTTGGCAAAGCCAAGAGACTGATAAAGATAAACAAACTTTAAAAAAAATATACATATATATGTAAAAAAATACAAATAAATAAAATGAAAATGAAAAGGCAAAGAAAAAGGAAACCAAATCGAGTTTTTTTTCCTCACATATTTGTTTGAGAAATGCGTGTGCTTAGAGGGTGGTTTCAAAAGTTGAGACTTGGGAAAAAATTGGGCTTTTTCTAAAACATAAAAATAAATAGTTAAAAGTGGGTTTTCTTTATCAGATCTACCAAGAAAATATTCTAGAACTCTCTTACTTAAAAAGTACTTTTTTTAGACAAAGAACTAGGTGGTAGTATCGGGTATACTGTAGCTTAAAGACTCATTTAGAGCTTAAATTATAGTAATCATCATAAGAAGCTCTTAAGAATCATAATAATGAATTTTAGTAATCAACATAAGAAGCTCATCATAGGAATAAATAAACAAATAGTTTATTAAACTTTAAAAGTGTTTATTAGTAACCAGGTAGTTAGTGCCGGGTATCATATAACTCATAGCCCTTACCATAACGTGAACTTCTTATATTAACTTCTTATTTAAATGCAAATTTATTTTATTATTATTTATTAAATATATGCGTTTAATTAAACAATGAGTAATAGTAACAGAATATGGGTTTTCAATAAGAAGATGAGGTTGTAGTACCAAGTATCATATAGTTTAGAGACTTTATCAAAGCTACAACAATAACTTAGCTAATATGCATCTTTTCTATAACAAAAAGAATAGTTTACATATATTTTAAATTAAAAAAAAAATTAATTATATTAAAAAAGTGTGTATTAGTAACAGAAATACTATAATTTAAATAGGAAAGAGGTAATTATTGTGAGAATATGTAAGAAGTGTCGGGTATGATATAGTTAAGAGACTCTATCAATGCTTTAAGAATAAAACTAAGTTTTTTGCATCATATGAAAAATAGTTTAGAATAATTTATTATTAATATTATTTTAAAAACAGTAACCTTTCATTAGGAACAAGAAGTACATAATATGTAGTACCAAGTATCATATAGTTCAGAGACTACTTCATACCAGCCAACCAAAACTGACCTTAGCAGAGCTTGTTTTTCAAAACCATCCGTGTTTCTGCAACGACCTGAAATGTTTAAAATGTATATATATATTATTTTTTTTTATATTATTTTTTAAAGTAACAATAACAACCATGGGAGACCTCTTGAACTGCCCTCGCAGCTGGCAGTCAATGATGCCCCATTGACGGATGGTGGCAGTGTCGTCGGACAACTAATTGATACATAAAACCTGAAGCGACTCCGGCAGCCACAGCGGCGACCGCCGGAAAGTCAAAAGGGGGTCATCCGAGACATGGGTTAGAGGGGCACACACCAGGTAGTATGGGGCGTGGTCGGAGCCCCAACAGTGACGATTCATTGATTGGCATCGTCTATTGGGCCATGCCAATAATAAATGTTGAAATGATTTGATATTGATGTGATATTTTCTATATAATTTCTAATTTAAACACAGATGTCTATTAAGCCTCTAGGCCTGCTCTTAACCCTCTGAAATAATTGCTGTTTAATGAGATCTTTAGGCGGTTTTATTTCTCAGATATTGTCTATTATTTGAGACACGTGTCTACCCTCGACGATGGCTCACGTTACTACATATTATTAACTATTATTAGGTTACTATTATTATTATTAAATGTGGATAATTGGCATGAAAACCGCGTTTACGTTTGATTAACCCCATTTCTGGCATCGATCAATCGATCCGCTGACAATTCATTTACACATGTCCTTCAGACGACACCTCGGCCAACTTCCCTTTCACTTGGCTCTTTTTTTTTTGGTTTTGTTCAGTTTATTGGCTTATTGGCCTATTGGCCATTTGGCCGTTTGGCTAGTGTTTACGTTGGCCGTTGCCAAGCCAAATAGTTTTGGGCCAAAACGTTTTTGTTTTTTTTTTTGGGTCATCCATGCATTGAACAAGAGATATGGAGGTTTCAAGACCCAAGTTCCAAGATTTCTTTGCAATTGGTAAGATTATTTTTTATATTATTATTTTACTATTATTTTTTATATTTATATCACTATTTTTTTTGAAAGTATGATAATTTTTTGTTACCCGTTGTTAAAACAGCATCTTAAAATACCACAGTAACCTTTAAAATCTTAGATATGGTAAGTATCTTAAGAATGATCTTTTTTCTAAGAAGATCTGTGAATGATCTGACCATTTTTCTATCATAAGATCTTTTTTGAATTTTTTGAAAAATTTTATAAATACTTTGATATATTTTGAAAGTTTAAAACACATACCAAAGGTCTTCAAAATCTCTAAAAGTTCGGTAGCTCTTGAAATCTTTTAATTGGCTTGAAAATCTGTAAACTAGCTAGAAAATAATTTAGAATTAAATTTAAAAATTGTATACAAAATCTAAGAATTTGGTTATCACTGTAGAAGTTTAATAAATGAAGTTTTTAACCAAAAGGATATTAATTGAAGTCTTTCTTTAAGAAGAATAACTTATAAGAATAGCTCTATACAAACTCTTTAAACAGCCATATTATTTATCTCTAAATCCATCTTAAACAAACAAATTTATCAATTTTCTTTAGAATTTCAAAATTCCTTTTTAATTTCCCTCCTAAAAACACAATTTTTATCAAACTTTTCATCTATTTTTTGTATTTTTACAAATCTCTATTAAATACATGTATATATTTTCGTGATGAATGGAGCAATAAAGCCTCCGACTACGATGTGTCACTGTCATTGTTTCGAACCGATTTAAATACTATTAATTGGCATGAAGACAAATGCCGGAATTAGCATATTATTTATATATACACTTTGTGCCTGAATAGATCCGAATTTGGCAATATCCCGCCATTAACAATACATCTCGATCGTGTGTGCGAAATTCCGCAGAGTCAGTCAATGGAAAGATGACAGTTTTGTACATAAAACAGTTAATAAGATTTATTGAATCTATTCGGAGGCGACATTATAATATACAATATCATTATCATAGCAGTGGCAATAATTTTGTGTTTGCATAATTATCGTTTAGTAACGCGCATCCGATTCGGTTTCCCAATCGCATTATTCCGCCATATATATCTCTACCATATGTATCCCTCGAATGTGGGAATCCAGAAATCTTATCACCCCCCTACCTTAATGAGGGGTATTTCTTTTTTTGGTATAGTAACTCTCCCAAAAACGCCAAAAGCCGATAAGATATATATTTTCAATTAGAAAGATTAATGTCAGATGGAACTTAAATGCTCAAAACACAAGATTACAGCAGATGATATAGGTATTTCCATGATCCAAAATTAATTGGTTTTATTTGGAACTTTATTTTATTAACACAAAGTTTGTTTATTTTTGAAGTGGTTGTCTGTTTTTATTATTTATATTTATTAGAGCTACTTTTTGTGTTTAAAATTGTGTATTTTTTAGGATTCAAAACTCTAGAAAATATATTTAGGAATGAAAGACCCTTAAGGTCTAATATCTGCCTATAAGGGGTTGGTATCATAGCTACATCTTCATTTATTCTGGGTAGATCTATGAATGTTATCTCTCTCTGTTCTTGCTTGTTTCGAGACCAACAAATTAGTACTAATTAATGAAAATACATACAAATTTTGACAGAATGTTGAAAATTTTTTAAAACTTTAAATTAAAAATTTTAATGATCTATGTATGAATATCGAAATTGAATCTCTGATTCATAAATGATATTCCTCTTTTGATTTAGTTGCAAAATACATAAAATATTGCGTAAAAAGTGTGGGAAATATTAAGATTTTGAGAAAATTCAAAATTATCCAAATTTTGGTCCATTTTTTAAAAATTATATAATCAAAAAAGTGTATAACTCGGCTAATACTTGACAGATCCACAAATGTCATATCTTCCCGAACTAAGAACTTTAAATACTATCATTTTCAATAAAAACCTGGCAATTATAACTTTTAATCATTTTTCCTAATTTTTTTAAGGGGTTTCATCATAAAAATGTGATAAAAATCTTTAAAATTTGTATGTTTCATATTTTATTACAGTTTTAAAGATATTGAAGCCCTGATTCATAAATGGTATTCAGTTTTGGAATCGGATGTAAAATAAAGGAAATATTCGCTGAAGAGTGTCTGAAAAGTTGAAATTTTGACTAAAAGCATCTATGTATTATATAACCCGCCCAAATACGATTTTTTTAAGCCAAACTAGTCTTAACTTGGCTCATACTTGTCCAATCAGAGAATGTTATACCTTCCCAGTCTTAGAACTTTATGAACTATAATTCTCTAATAAAATCTGGCCATCGAAAACTTAGCCCAATTTTCGTAAATTTTCAAAGGGGAGGGTATCATAATTTTTTGGCAAAAATCGATAAAATTTATACTTCTTAAATTTCGATATAGATCGATGGGAAGTAAAGCCCTGATTCATAATTGTTACTCCGTTTCTAAGCCGTTTCGGTTTGGAATAAGCCTAATATTAAAGCTAAAAGCTTAAAAAATCTTTAAAAAAATATATAGCTTTAAAGAAACTCCAAGCGATTAAGTTTTCGCTAAAAAATCCCAAAGAATATTCTCCAGTAATATAGGAACCCTATAAGATAAGTAATAGAGATCTTTAGTGTCTGGACTGATGTTGATAGTCCCTCAAAGAATGACTTAAAAATGACTAAGATAATGGGAAGCTATATCACTCTTGTCTTTATGAATTCTTCCAAAAGAAATAGTTCTCTTCTCTCTATTCTCCACTCTTTTATCCATTTGTTCTCTCCCCACTTACTCATACCGTGGGCCGTATTGACACAAGTGTTTCTTCAAAGATCGAATATCTTTCTTTCAACCATAATCCACTATATCCAAAAGCCACGACGATGAAATTCCAGCACAGGATCCCCAAATGAAACACCAGGGGATATAGTTTTAGCTATCAGAGTTATGGTTGCATTTGCATGTATTTTACACAAAAAAAAAACTGTTTCTGTTTTCGGGTGGGGTCTCAACAAAATAATATTAAATGTCAGGGGCCAGGTTACACCAAAAAGAAACGCCCAAGGGAATGGATACGTTGAGCCGAGAGTGGTCCTCCCAACGCCAGGTCTTAAACAAATGTCGAAAAATTAAGATTGAGATGCGGCACTGCTGTTTCTGTTGCTAATCCTCCTGCTGATGTTTCCCGATGCTCCTAATCCTCCATCATGATTCTAACTGCTATTGCTAAAAGGGGAGTGCCCTTTTACAGGCGACCGTAGTGGGCCTGGCTGGGCTTGCGGTCCGTGAAGAAGTTGCGCAGCACCAGGATCTGAACCAGACCGATCAGCACTACGGCGGCCGTCTCCAGCGATGACCAGACCATCACCCGCGAGTTGAGATCCTCCGCGCGCTTGCGGCCCTGCGCCTCGCGGAGACGGTGATGCGTCTGTGCGTCGAGGATGTCGTTCAGGCCCTTGTGAATGGCCTGCGACGAGGTCTCCATCTGGGTGAGCACCGTAGCGTGCTCATCGACGCCCGGCAGAGCCGCCTCCTCACCCACCTGGAAGTCCACGTAGACGATCTTATGCGAGAAGGCCGAGAACTGGTTGCCGAAGCAGGCAGTGTACACGCCAGTTAGCTCCGCCACGAACTGGTAGCTGTCGAAGGTGGCCTTCTCCTGCTTATAGATAACCTTGCCCTGCGGATCCTTCAGATGGACGTCGACGTCCAGCTGGCCACCGGCAGAGACCTGGAACTCGAAGTAGGCGCTGGTGTTGCGGGTGATCTCCTCGTAGAAACAGTCTTCGGCATTGTCCGCCAGGTCGAAAGTGAACTCCACGGCGCTGGTGCACTGCATCAGGGCCACCAGAAGGGTGGAGACCAGTAGGATGCCTGCCGGACTGCTGTTGTACCGGATATGTGTTGGACTTTTGGTGGCCACCATGGTTTCGGCGGGGCTGGGCTGGCTATTTGGTATGTGGATGTGCTCGGTACTCCGCTGCCACGAAGCAGCTGCTGGTGTCTCAACCTCCTTACTTTTTGCTATTCTACTTTATTAATGAATTCGCCGCCTCCCGTCAGCGATTCGATCCGTTTTCCAGCTGCAATAGGCAAGTAATCAACGATTCATCCCACCAGGAGGCCCTTCTTTCTCCATACGCCCTTTTTCCGGGCAGTACTCACCAGTGGTCGCCCGGATTACGTTTTGTTTGCTACTTTAATAAAAAAAAAAATTCCCATAAAAACACCAAATGTTCTGACACGTGTCAACACTCTTTTTGCGGCCCACTCTTCAACACTGGAAGAACACGTAAGTGTTATCGGAATTTCAAAGTTGCGACTATCGATTGGGCGCGAAGAAATTTCGTTAATCGAGTTGGCAGTGCCAGCCCTGGAATCAACTTCCCTTCCAGCTGACACTTCCGTGTTCCGACCCATTCGTTCCCATATTTCGAACGAAGCTTGCATCTAGATTTTTTTGTTACATTTTTTTCCGGTCTCTTTTATTAAAGCCAGTGAACCGAACTCGATAAAAATGCAGGTGGTGGAGCTGCGCATGGACCGCAGCCTGCTCTGCCCAAACTTTGATGGCTACAAGCTTTCCTTTGACCCGGTGCCGGTTTTGCGGCAGAACTTTGATTCCAACCCGTTCCGCCTGGAGCCGCACGTCAATCAGTACTCGATGCTGCACTTGGAACTCTTCGCCAAGCACAACCTGCTGTGGTGCGACCCCTGGATGCGGTATGCCTCCTACTTCATGAACGAGAAGCACCAACTGGTGCAGTGCGTCTACGATCCACAAAGTGGACGGACGCGAGGACAGCGTGTCGTGTTCACCCTGGACAGGATGGACCACGGCGACGGTTATGCCCACGTGCCTGGCGACTACAACTACTCGGGCATCTTTGTGTCGGAGCGTTACCTGGTCATTTGCGACGGCATCAACACATTCCATTTGATAGATACAGGCGATCGGTCCAGGACCGGCAACGATATGTGGCAGCGGATCAGCCGCACCCCTGTGGACAATGGACTGGATCACCGTGGTCAGGTCCTCTACGACGCTCGCCTGGACATGGTGCAGGAGCGTAAACAGATCTCTCTAGTCGCTGCACATGTTGGACATCGCCATACGGATGCGACACAGACACGCCGCAACACCGTCCACTACAATGATCTGACTTGGGGGCGCTGGACGCTATCCCCGAGATCCGATGAATGGTCCTACACAGTCTGTCAGAAGCTGGAGACTATCGGATCGGTGCTATACTGTGCATTTGAGCCGCGTGCCGAGTCCCTGATCATTGCCAGCACCCGTGATGTCCAGACGCCGGCCCAAAGAGAAGCTGCAGAAGCTGCGGCCGTCCCTCCAGAACCCGTCATCCCCTTCCAGAACGGTGCCGATCCAGCTGCGGTCAATTTTTCGTGGGCCCAAGCTGACGATGAGCTGTCGATCAGATTTCCGTTGGATGGGGAAGTGCGTCGTCCTGATTTTCAAATTCGCTGCACGGCCAGCACGGTGCACGTGGAGCACTTGGGCCGGGTGCTGATTGCTGGTACCCTGTTCGGACGTGTGGACAACGAGCTCACCACCTGGAGCTTTGGCCCCAACAAGCTGACATTGATTAAGCAGGAGCCACTGCGCTGGCCGCGTTTGTTCATCGAGGAGGGCACCGGTCCGGACGAAAGCGATATGGACGCCGACGCCGAGGAAGCTGACCCCTTGCCTGATCCACAGTTGCCAATACCCAACCTGGAGGATCCAGTGGAGGAGTGCGATGTTCCCTTCGAAGACGAGGAGATCAAGATGGGTAAGACAAGAGCTATCTAATGGAAGATTATTTTATGAAACTTTTCCCACTCGCTTGCAGTTCGTTTCAACCTGCCGGCTGGCTGCATCACTCACACCATATTCATGGGCTCGACGCCCCTGCTGTTCAACACCACGCTGCGTGCCGGCTTTCCGCCTGCCTTTTCCACTCGCCAGGGCGTGGACGCCGCCCTCTGGCTGCAGATGTACCAGCCCACTCGCCCAGACGAATGGAACGTGCGCCACGAGGGACAGCTGCATGCCTTCGGCTACGTTCAGGCCTCCAAGGCGGAGCGAAAGTACACCGTCTGCTGCCCGAACATGGAATTCGTGGCCATCTGCGAGAGCTATCGCCACGTCCTCGTCTATCGTGCCCGTCACGACAACGCCGAGGGACTGCGCAGGCGCAACGGTCCGCCCGTGGTGGTCGGCAAGCAGAGCCTGGTCACCCTGGACGAGACCGTCGGCGACATCATCGGCGTTTCCACGGCCCCCAACCTGATCACTATTCTGACTGAGTATGCCCTGCTGCATCTGCAGGTGTAACGTTGCTACTATACCTTTACCGTTACCATATAAATTAGTCGTTGACAATAAACGCATTTCCTTGGTCCTAGTCCTGTGCCCGCTGGCACCTGACCCCTGACCCCATACATACATATACATACATATATTTCAGGAAAGAAACCATTTAAAATCTGTGGTTCGTTTGTTATAAACAAAGTCTAGGTTAACAGCAGTAACATATCCTAGTTTTAGTTAAATATACTATTACCATTGGCGGAAATGGTATCTTAAGAATTAAAATCTATTTCTTAAAGAGTCTTGATAAAATAAAGAGCCAGCTATCAAGATCTTGATAGTTCTTTGAGAAATATATCTAAAAGTTTATTAAATCTTAAGGTTTTTTTTACATTTTTTTACTTAAATTTAAAGACATATGGATGGTTATGATGATACTTAATAGATTCTACAACTAATCCTTGGAAATCCTTCACCAGAAATCTGTGAAATAAAAATTATTAATGTTATTAATTTTTTAAATCATAAATCCAGGTCCTGGTGGAAGCTTTTTAAAGTTTCTTCCAATATAACTCCATTTTCTTCAATATAATTCAACAATATTGATAGATACTTTTATTATAAATCCTTTATTTTATAATAAAAAGTCTAAACTACAAACTAAAAGGTAATAAACAAACTAAAATACAAACTACTTTTGGAAAAACAATTAATTTCCATCCTAAAAGCATACTAGGAACCATTAAACCCTTTAATCCTTCAAAACCATACTCCTTTAGAATGAAAATGTTACAGGGATAATGTATCTTTTGATATCCTAAATTGTATTTCCATTATTATGAAATTATTTTTTCCAGAACCTTCTTCAAAGTGTACCGGCATTCATGGGTTAAATGCTTCATATGGTAGTGTGACCAGCCTAAGGGCAATTCTCCTACAATGTGCTACTTTTAATACCATTTTTAGTATATTTCAAACCGATAGCACCTGGTCACACCAGTGTAAATTGTTGTTGTTTTTAAGGTTTCGTACGTTGTTTTTTTACATAAATAGCCGCGCGTTAAAGTGGAGCGTTTTAATTCGTTTGTGTTAATATCGCGCTGCGCTGTTTACGCGTTTACACTTTGGCGGCAGGAAACGCAATATCACATCTATACATACATATAACCCGATCAAAAAAAATTAATTAGTGCAATTAGGCGGTAAACAGAAATTATCTTAAAAAAAAAATTTTGTTTTTTTGGAGCCGAATGTAAAAAATTATTGTGAAATACACACTCTTGCACACCCAACACCACGCTCCACACACCCACACCAACCAGCGCACACTCGCTTGCACACACACACACACACACTCGTAGTGGTTTCCAATTGGAAAGAACCTTTCCGGACGGGGGAGCACGTTTCGCGTAAAAAAAATAAAAATTCGACCGTGATTCGGATTCGATTCCGGTGGCAGCCACAGATTCTATTATTAACAAGCCAAGAAGAACCTGTCGCACCAATTGCACATCCATCATCTCGCCCCCTTTTCCCACCAGCAATATTATATCCGACATATAATAATATCTGTTTACAAGAGCAGGCCCAGCAGCTGACGCCGCAATCGCAGCTGTAAAAAAGGAAGGAAAATCCCAAAAAGAGACCGCAGGGGATAGCATAAAAAAAAAAAAAGAAAAACACGCGACCTGCCCCGCACATTTTTGTGTTTTTTTATTGTGAATATTTGATTTAGCAAGATTAGCTAAAAAAAAAGAGTCCACAAATCGTGAATCGTGAATTAATTTTGTTGGGGAGAACACGAGAAAAACAGCGGGAAATTCGGCAAACTGCAGATTACACAACTGCAGCAACACCATACACACACACACACACAAACACACATACCTCCCGCCTCCCACAAATCGTGCCGCAAGAGCGATAGAGAGAGAGAGAGAGTGTGAGTGGAAAAGTGCAGAGCAGGAGGAGCAGTGAAACACTAAGAGAGCAGTAAAGAGACCGAAAGGAGGTCACATTTGTTGTGCCGCTATATTCCTTCGATTCTGATTACCGAGTCGCCAAAGCAACAGCTGAGCGGCCCCCCCCACTTCTTTTTTCATCTTTTTTTTTGCCGGTAAGTGTGCTACCCAGTGTGGCTCTTATTTTTGTTGTAATTTTAATTTTTTTTTAATTTGGTTGTGGCTGCCACAATTTTTTTTGTATTTTTTTTTTAATGAACACGATTTTAAATCGCTGACTGGGCAGGTTTTATAATGATTTCGCTTGCGGGGGTCAAAGTGGCAAGGCCTTGGTCTGGCCAGCCTACACCAGAGGTGGAAATAATAGGTATTTCCAAGAAATCTAAAAGATATAAATATATTTTGTTTCTAGGAAATATTATCTAAAATCTTATCTGGTATAAACTAGTTTATTTTTTTTTTATATATATTTTTAATCTAATTCCTTGACTGGCATTGTTTATAATTGTTTCGTATGGGTAATATTTGTAAATGCGTAATTACCCGGCCGGTCAACTATTTTGTATTGATTTTCTATGTGGTCTCTGGGTCTGTAATTACCGGGCAATTCGATTTTAAGTACCCGCTCTCCATAGTTGGTTTGCGGTTACAGCCTTGACATTCGTAGTTAGTTTTTTTTTTATTGTTGTTGTTGTTGTTTTTCCATAGAAATTTATGTGCATGCGATTTACACTTCCCCCTTTTCATTGCTTCCGCAGCGTTTTTGTTGTTGTTTTTTTGGGCGGTTGGCAGGCGACCTTGGGTGGAAACTTCTGGCATATTCCCATACATCGAGGCATACTGGCGTGACCAATCGAAAATAAAAAATAGAATCGAGTGGCTATATACTCCTCCTCCACCTTCTTACCACCCCTTTCCACTAATACCACTAGATTTGTCGAGTCATTCCATAGTCCAGAGTAAGCCATAATAATTGAGTGACGTCACACATTGCTCATACGCCATGTGGGGGTATTCCTTTTCCGCTGTGATAAAGATCCCAGGAGAGTAAAAGATGGTAAGAGAACGGTGCTAAGAGAGCGTCAAGTATCCAATTTAGAACGGGGCTCTGGGTATTTCACCAGAGTATGCAAAGCGAAGCGGAGAAATAGTGGGTGAGGAAATGAGAAAGTCAAGAAGAAGATAGCGGAGAAACAAAAACAACATATCACCTCTGTATTCCTGATCTATCAGCATGAGAATGCAGAAATATCTCACGAATTATTCACATGACTCACTCTCGCTCTCGCGTGCCCTTGCTTGCTCCTAAGCTCCACTCCCCCTCCCCCTCCCCCTACCTACCTAACTACCTCTCTTTGAAGCAGCCATCTCGCTCACTCACGCATCACGATCAATTATTACTGTTTGTTTTTCGATATCAGGCAACGTGCGAAAAGCAATCAAAGCTCTCTTCAATGTTGTTGTTGTTGCTGTATTGTTGTGACATTTGCAATTATTATCGCACCATGACTGGCATTAGTATCTAATAGATACACAAGCAGAGTTACAAAGTAATAGATACAAAACAACATGTATAGAGTGCGATACGGGTTATAAGTACATTACGCATACGCCCAGTGGCCGCGCAGATAGGTGGCCTTGAGCGGCCTTGCCTCAGGTTCGCATTTATTGAGCCGTCTAATCCCCCTCCATTGTCACGCACCGAAAGGCCTGGCCGCAACTTCAGGTCTAAATGCACTGAAAGAAATTTTTATTTATCTTAATTGTAATTAATTATTATAATTATTAATTAGCATGATGGAACTATTTTTTTAAGGTCTTAAAATAAAGGATATTAGTTATTATTTCCTTTTGCACTGAAAGAAACTTGTTGGAAAATCGTTTTTAATCGTAAATCGTCTTAGTTTTTCGTTAAAAATAAGTTTTAATGGTGATTTGGTTTAATTTTAATGGAAAATTTGTACTTTAAAAATTATAATAATACTCTTAATGATAAAATTAGGGGAAAAAATTCAAACCTTTTAATCTATAAATATTTGATTCATAGAGTTTCTTATTTCTTTTATCATAAATCATAAAAATTTGTCCTACATTTTTTTATTATTTTATATTTTTATAAAGGTCTTAAAAAAGACCTCTTAAATTTAACTTCTCACCATGATTATTGCAGATTCTAAACTATTTGTCATCATTTGTTATTTAATTCTAAAAACTGCTCTATTCTTATAAATCATGCTGACTTTTTAGAGCTTAATCATAATGACAATTAATCAGATATTATTTTTATTGAAATTGAATTTAATTTAATCTTGAAAGTACTTTAAAATTAAACTTTATTTCTTAATCATTGTTTTGTTAACTACTTTGTATCTTTACTGTTAAAATTTTTTTGAAATTATTCAATAAAACTAAAGTCATTATTGAAAGTTTTATCTAAAAAACAAAAGTTTTATTACATTTTAATTAAAATTAGTCTTTTGAAGGGATTATTTTTAAAGACTTAATCATTTTTCTTTCTTCTTAAAACTAGAAAACTTTTAATAATTTTGTTTACTAAGAAAGATGACTATTTTTGTAGATTTCTAAACTTAATAATGAATATTAAAGTGTTTTAAACTATGAATATATTTTTTTTATTATTTTTAAGAGTATCTTAGTTATTTTTCCCGGTGTACCCTTGGGTCAGAACTCCCTCCCGCCCTCTGGTGGTCGGAATTTCTTTGAGGCGCAATTCATTTTCGACCATTATTTTTATGGCCATATTACCTCCGATTGTGGTCTTTTATTAACCCACCCAGTGGTGTCCTGCCAGCCTAACACCACACTAATTATAACTCAATTATTTCAAAGAATTTCAATAATTCTTGGGTTTATCCTGTAATGAGAATGAGAATAATTCCCCTTAAAAAAAAACAAAAGCTTAACCCCTAAAAGTCCCCCCCTCTCGATAATTAAGTGTCGTCGCCAGGAAATAAATTTTAGCAACCAAATGCGATAAGTCACATGTTTGTTAACCGTTTTTTTGTATTATTATTTTTTATTTTTATTGTTTTTTATTTTGTTATGACCGGCTTTTGTTGTTTTGCACTGGCATTTAGTTGATTGTTTTATTAATTTAACGATTTGTAAACTAAACTCAAGGACTCCACAGCCAAGAAAGTTACAAAAGTAACCAGAAAGAGTTAGTTAACCAACTGAAGGCACTGGCCCGGAACACCTTGGCTTTTATAAGCCTTTGGGGGGCTGGTCTAATGTTGTTTATTTGAATTGCAAGTAAATATTTAACAATCTGAACTACATATTTCATTAGAAACAATAACATTTGAAGAAAAAAACACATCTGGCTGCGCAAATGTGTCATGTGAGATGACGGAATATGGTACTCCATATATATTCCTCATTTGGCGAATTGTGTAATTGTAGCCATCCACTCCCACACATACCCCTCTCTGATTGCAGATTCTATTTATTTGTTTTTTATTTTTTTTGTGGCCAGAATAGAGTGCGTCACTTGTGCTATTCAAACACTTGCTATTTGCACTCTATTTTACGCAATTAAACCCGCAGATGCCACCACCAGCAGGCAGTCTCTCTATAGTCTCTATATATATTATATATATATATATATTTGCACAAGTGCATCTCAAAAAAAAAACAACAGAAACAACAATAAAGTCCCCAAAAATGATTAATCGGAAGAGAACACGTGCTCCTGTCATTTGGAAAGGGGGGGTATTTTATGGGGTGATTGCCATTTTAATAAACGTTTGTTAATTTCTATAATATAACCCCAAAGAGAGAGAGATATATACAAAGATTTGTATTCTAGATGGAAATTTGTTGAAAATATTCTCGAGCCTCATTTATGAGATATGAATTTTAAAGTCTTTTTAATTTTTTTTTTTTATGACAAACTGTCATTAAAAATTAAGTTCACTTTGAATAATTAATTTGTGGTCCCCCTCTGGAAACCCTCCATCCCTCCATCAATTAGTGAATTAATAAATTTCCTTTTTTTTTTTTAATTCTTAGATTTGAAATTCCGCGACACACGGAATAGTGTCCTGGTTCCCATATGCATACAGTCATACACCCCCCTGGCATTGCAACTTGGAACCTCAATAGGGCTAACCACCCACCCGCCCCTTCCACTTGTCTGATTGTCTGAGAATTTGTTGGCCAAATAGAATTTATTACGTCGCAATTTCTAGAGAGACGACGGAGACGACGCCGAGTCGGTTTATGAGGCGTATGCGTAATCTGGCTGTTATCTTATTATTATTTTGTTTCCCAATGCACTTCCTTATGCTTCTCTCATGAAATTCAATTCGAAACTCAAAAAATGTTGATGTTTAAATTTTCCAACTAAAAGAAGAATTCTTCTGAAAAATCCGAGAGATGTCAGAAGAGAATTGGTTTTTGTTTTCTATTTCGTTAGCCGTGACCCTGAATGTTTGTATTTGTTTGCAATTTTCTATTGCTTCTTTCCGCATTTTCTATCTGGCTACACTGAGAAAAGAAATATTTTAAAAACAAATTTAAAAAAAAACATAATTTAGTGGCGTTATAGTTTTCATAATAAATACCAACGATTTCATGATGATTTATTAATCTCAGAGAGGAACTATGGCACGATAAGGTTCAGTTTTGATAACAAAATTGATCATAAATTGTAAAGTTGGAATTTAAATAATCTATCGGGGGGTTTTAGTTTCTATATAGGGTCCTGGTGATTGATATCTCATCCAAAGAATCTAAAGAAAGGCCCTTGAAAGGCCACTTGGTTCGTTTCTCAGGGAAAACCTTCAATTACCAAAAATATTGTTGCGGAATTCACTCGAAACGATAATTTGTAATCAGCTTTTGGCCAATATGACTCTTATCAGTCAGTCAGTTAGTCAGTCTGTCAATCACTTACTGCACCGTCAAAAAAAAAGTCCAATTCTTCCACAAAAAAAGGTGACTCATCACACTTGCCGAAAAAATCTGCCACACACTCACAGGCTGGTATCATTTTTGGCTTCGTTTTTAGGGGGGGTATGTTTTCATATGACAAGGCAGAAAAAAAAAAAAAAAAACAAATGAAAACAGAAAAGTGGCTACTGCCCTTCGGCGATTTTGATTGCGTGGGTCAAGAGCTTCCCAAAGAATCGCA